ACTCTCCCAATCTTTACAACGTTGTTGACGAGAGACTTGTGGACGATAAATCCGACACCTCCTTGGGACAGATGGTCGCCCTCCCGGTGATAGAACAAGTTGTCGGACTCGAGGATTACCGTGTCCTCCCCCTCTCTTCGGGCCTCAGATAATCCAATAATATGCCAGCGCAACTTGTCTACCTCTTCTTCCAGCTCCAGTATCTTCTTGTCAGTCCTCAGGGTGCGTGCGTTATACGTTGCCAAGTCGAGTTGTCATAGGTGGCAACCGAACCTCCACCGGAGATTCTTAGCACCCCCTGCCCCGCCGTTACCATGGTCGCCACCGTAGCCAGGAATAGCGGGGCCACCGGGGACTGGGGGCCGTTTGTTTGCGTCGTTGCTCATGGAGGGATATTTGCCATAGTTGCCACGCTTGGCGAGCGGGTTGGCAACCGCAGTTTTTTATTATATTATTGTTGTTATTAGGAAGATGCTGCTGCCCATCTCCTTTCTGTGTCCCTCTGTCGCCTTAGAGAATGTCCACTACCCCATATCCTTATTATATTTATCTTTAATCTGTGATGTTCGTGCCGTTAGCCTTTTACAGCTTCACCTGTCTCAACTGTATCCTTACTACAAGTAGCTCATTGACAACTGCAACAAACTTCAAACAAAGAATGCCATGATGCTTTGTTAACACTAAGGTATCAAAAGGTTCCTAAAGGCTTGCGTTCATTCCCCAGAGGAGGTCTACGTCGCTACAGACACTACCTGAAGTACGGTAAGTATCAAGACTACTAGCTTTGCCATGTAATATTAAATCCATATTTGTATTATTTTCTTTTAAATATACATATGTACACTAACGCTAACGAAGAGGTGAGAAGACATATTGAAAGCATCATCATCAACTCATTCTCATTGTGAGAATGAATGTAAAGAATGTTTCTAAAAATCAGTTTATATGAAATAATGGAGTCTTACAGCACTTCTGCAAAAAGGTCCATCGCACTGTAAAAGAGGACTAAATTATTTTTTTATAATGAACTAGTGACCGACGTGCATTGCTTGCAATGTCTTTTTAATCAGAACAATTCGCGGGCTTGCGAACAACGACTCACCAATCATCAATCGTAATCGCATTGTTTTTTATTTCAATTCTTCATTCACTAAAGCCTAAATTACATTATAACCTAAGTAATGTTACATATATGCGTTGCGCTGATTGTAGTGATGCAGGGCAGTGTATCCAATAATTTTATTGTGATCCAGTCCGAGACTAATTGTCCGATTTCGACGAATTTAAGTAAACATAATCTACTTAGTGTAAACAGTGCATAGCATTGATAATTTTTATGTCTCGTGCTATTTTAATTTGTCAAAAAAATTGATATTTAGTGTTAGCTAATATGGTGTAATGTTCGGTAATTTTTTGAATTCTGAGTCTTGTGTACGAACTACTGGTAAAATATGAATGGTTCTAAAATTTTATAATTAGAATTTAATATTTTTACGTTTGTTTATTTATTTATTTTCACCTCTCTGTTGTGTATAATAATAAGTTGTTTTTATCTCTTACTTCAAATATTTTATATTTTAATAATCATTCATTCATCATCACTACAGCCCTTCACAAGTCCACAGCTGAACACAGGCCTCCCTAAAGAATGCCACAAAGCACGGTCCTGAGCCACCTGCATCCGTCGACTTCCTACCACCCCACACTGTTCAGGTTACCCTACACTTCGCCGACCAGTACGAGGCCGCCAATCGAAAACCTTTTTTCCCCATCAGTTGTCGTTTCTTCGAGCTACATGGTCGGCCCATGCCACTTCAACTTACTAATCCGTTGGGGTATGTCGTTCACTCTGGTTCTACTGCGTATACCCTCATTCCTAAGTTTATCACGCAGTGAAACCCCAGGCATAGCTCTTTTCATAGCTCGCTGAGCGCCTCATACGGCCAGCCACGCACTGGTTTTACAGTCTCGTTTTTAGGTTCTGAGGTATACCTATCGAGAAGATGTGTCGTAATTTCCCGAACGCTGCTTAGCAAAGTTGAATCTCGGTCGAAGTTGGACTTACCTAGTCGGATTATTTGTCCCAGGTAAATGTACTCGTCAACAACTTCGAACTTAGTGCTCACAACAACTACCAGCATAGGTGTGAGATGAACATTAAACATGATCTTTGTTTTGTCCATGTTCATGTTAAGACCTATCCGTTGGGAGACACTATTGAGGTCATTGAGCATAGTGCTTAGGTCCTCCAGCGATTCTGCCATAAGGACTATATCGTCGGCAAATCGAAGGTGAGTGATGTACTCCGCATTGATGTTAATACCTTCCTTTCCGGTCCAGTAGCTTGAAAACGTCATCCAAAACAGTGGTGAAAAGTGATGGGGATATAACGTCACCCTGTTTTACATCTCTTTGCAGTTGGTTAGGTTTCGTACTGTGGTTCTGTACTGATAGTCATCGTAGCCCTACTGTACAAACACTTCAGCACTTCGATATACCGGCAGTCAACTTGGCATCGCTGAAAAGACTGTAGCACCGCCCAAATTTCGATAGAATCAAAGGCTTTCTCATAATCTACATACGCCACGCAGAGCGGCTGATTGTATTGTTCGGTCTTCTGTACAATCTGCCGTAGGGTATATATGAGGTCTATGGGACTGAAACCTTTTCGGAAACCGGCTTTTTTTTATAGAAGAGGGGGCAAACGAGCATGCGGCTCACCTGATGTTAAGTGACTACAGCCGCCCATGATCAACCGCAACACCAGGGGAATTGCAGGTGCGTTGCCGGCCCTTTAGAAAGGAGTAAGCTCTTTTCTTGAAGGTCCCCAGGTCGTATCGGTCCGGAAAAATCGCTAGTGGTAAACTATTCCACAGAGAGGTTGTACGCGGAAGAAAACTCCTCTTGAAACGTACAGTGGTGGACCGCCAAGCATCCAGATGGTGTGGATGGTATCATGACTGCCGCGTAGTGCGTTCACGAAATTTGGCGGCTGGGATTAATCCGAACAATTCTTCAGAGCACTCTCCATGGTATATGCGAAAGAAAATGCAAAGAGATGCAACATCTCTTCGCAGTGCCAGTGAATCGAGCCGATCGGACAGCACACGGTCATCGACGATTCGAGCCGCTCTGCGCTGGATGCGGTCAAGTGGAAGGAGCTGGTACTGGGGAGCCCCAGCCCAGAGATGGGAACAGTATTTCCATGTGCGGCCGAACCTGCACCTTGTAAAGTTGCAGGCGGTGTGCCGGCATGAAATACTGTCCCGCTCTGCTGAGCACGCCAAGCTTTTTAGAGGCCAATTTGGCTTTCTCTTCCAAGTGACCACGAAACTGCACTTGTTCGGGAGGCTGGAAGTCGTCAAGCCTGCATGTGAGGCGATTCGTAATGACTCTCGAAAACAGCACATAGAAGCGGCTCAGAAGGAAGATCGGTCTGTAGTTCTTCAAGAGAGCGTTGTCACCTTTCTCGAAGAACAAGACCATCGCACTTATGCTCCACGCCTCAGGAGTGATGCCACCATGGAGATGGAGGAATTAAAGAGCTTCTGAAGAACGTCAAGTAATGGTTTTCCATCCGGTTATTTAATAATAATTTGTAATAATTAATAATAATTTTACTTATACAAATAACGTGTTTTTACATTTCATAAATCATATTTACTCGAAGTGCTAAGAGCTGGACAGGAAGTGGTGGCAGACCTGCTGTACACCTCGTTTAATTTATGCTGGGAACTGAAGCGGTTACCGGAAGACTGGTGCAAAGCCGTGATAGTCCCAATATATAAAGGAAAAGGGTCGCAGCAGGACTATAAAAACTTCTTCTTAGCACTGTGGGAAAACTGTATGCTAATGTACTGATTGAAAGAGTTTTGAAGTTATTTTATGAAAATGGGCTAAATTAAGACTTAACCGACGAGCATGTATATGTAGATATAGGGATATGGAGGAGGCGAGACAGGTGTGTCAGGATCGTGCCAAAAGAAAGTCTGTACTCTCTGCATACCCCTCTGGGTGACAGGCGTGAGTGCTATGTATGTGTGTATGTAAATTATATTTCTTATCCCTTATCTCTTAAAATAACGCTTAATTTAAAATGTTTAATAAGTTGTATTATAACTTCGCCCCGCTTCTGTCCGCAACACGGACATATGCACGTAGTTTAAATAATCTGTAATAAATTATTTTGAATAAATTCCATTCAAGTCCCACATGAAGTAGCCCTCATTGCCAAAAAATGTAAAATTGTTTTTTCAAAAATGTAAAATTGTGTTTGCAATTCAAATGTAAAATTAATTAATTTTATTGTAACGTTATTGAATAAAAGTTATCTATTTTTATGCTAGGAGTTCCTCTGCGTGAAAGACTTAGAAGTGAGAATATTCGCAGTAACCGATATAGCTCAGTACGTGATAGCTGAAATGGCAATGGGCCGGCAACATAGCTTGAAGAACAGACAACCGAATGGGAAGAAAGGTTCTCAACTGGCGGCCTCGTATCGAAAAGTGAAGTGCAGGACCCCCCCCCCCCCCATTAATTGGAGTAATGACCTGGTAAGAGATACATGAGGTCGATGGATGCATGCGGTTAAGGTGCGTGCTTTGTGGCATTCTTTGGGGGAGGCCTATGTTCAGCAGTGGACTTGTGAAGGGCTTTAATGATTGAATGGAAAAAATCATATTCTCCGTGAAAAATAAGGAAAAAGGTAGTAGTGATATTAAAGTACCTCTGCCTCAGAATTTTCACCCTCAGTCTGTAAGAATATAAATAAATACTCTCAATTTTTATTTAGTTTTCTATTTATATGAATACTTATTGTTAGAATTCATTAATATACATTGTCGAGTAAACTACAAATGAATAAATGGATGGCCGATCGCTCATTAGGGAATTCTCCCATATCATAATAAACGTTTTTTGATTAGTTACCATTATTTTCAGTCTTCTTTTTTATGAAAGTGTCCACTCGCATGCCGCAGGAAAACATTTCCCGTTTCTCGCTAAGCTGCCCAGAAAAGGAAGCCTAGTGAACGCAGAAACGCATAGACAATACTGTCACAGTAGTAGTTGTCCTCTTTATCATAGACAATAATGTCACAGTAGTAGTTGTGCTCTTTATCATAGACAATACTGTCACAGTAGTGGTTGTGCTCTTTATCATAGACAATAATGTCACAGTAGTAGTTGTGCTCTTTATCATAGACAATACTGTCACAGTAGTAGTTGTGCTCTTTATCATAGACAATAATGTCACAGTAGTAGTTGTGCTCTTTATCATAGACAATACTGTCACAGTAGTAGTTGTGCTCTTTATCATAGACAATAATGTCACAGTAGTAGTTGTGCTCTTTATCATAGACAATACTGTCACAGTAGTAGTTGTGCTCTTTATCATAGACAATAATGTCACAGTAGTAGTTGTGCTCTTTATCATAGACAATACTGTCACAGTAGTAGTTGTGCTCTTTATCATAGACAATACTGTCACAGTAGTAGTTGTGCTCTTTATCATAGACAATACTGTCATAGTAGTAGTTGTGCTCTTTATCATAGACAATAATGTCACAGTAGTAGTTGTGCTCTTTATCATAGACAATACTGTCACAGTAGTAGTTGTGCACTTTATCATAGACAATACTGTCACAGTAGTAGTTGTGCTCTTTATCAATTGCATGTATGAATTCCACAGGTACATCCCGCTTACATCATAATATTTATCGATTGTAAGAGCTTATACAATTATTCAAAGTTATAAATATTATTAGGGTTATCTGAGCATCGTTTTTGGCGACTAGATGGCGACATAAGGATACGGCGATTTCATGTTCATTGATTTAAATATGTCAGATGAATCAGAAAAGTCGGGAATAATAGGAGTAAAAACATCGAAGTCTTTGTTAGTTTCCCTATGTGAGACAGTGGTGGCAGTACTGGTCCTTCGAGCTGGATTTGAACCAGCGAGCTGTGTTTGTAAAATATATAATGTAATATCATTGAACTTTGTTAAGCTAATGTAAGCCGGTATTTGACTACTATCCCACCTGAAGGAATGGTTAACTATTTGACGATACACTGAGTTATATCAACAAAAGCCTAATAAACCAACAATGAAAGCATATGGAAAGATAGATGCTGGTAAATTATTCCAATCTTTGGTAAGTCCACAACAGAGGGATAGAGACTGGCAGATCATCTGGCCGGTGGTGTAATGTTCGAGAAGCAGGAATTAAGTCATGCAGTTCCCGTGCACACTCTATAAAATGTCCTGTAGAACACCGAAAGGCTACTTGCACCTGGTTATTTATAATTTTGAACAAAAGTCAAAAACCCCATTAATATGTAAATACAAAACCTTGGTATTCAAATGAAATCTGAGAAGAAATTTAACGTATCTTACCTTTGACATCGATTCAAAACCGGAGGCCTGAAATTTATGAATAATATTTATAAAGGTCAAGTTAGAAAAACGATTGTTTTTCACGTTGCTCAAAATATGATTGTGCATGAATATTTCGACCGCGTTATATTTTCCAGGTCATTATTGTTGTTTAGGTACGGCGTAACTGTATGTTTAATTCATATGCAATATCTTTTTGACGACGGTCTTATTTATCTTTAATTTGTTTATGACCATTACATTTTTAAATTCAAAAGCAATAATTTGAAATTCAGGACACATCGAAAATGTGCGCTGTTTACGATAGACATACGTAGTTGTTTTAGTTTGCAAACATTTATTGGTACTGGGTGGGTAAAATAGTAAATATATAATAAAGTACATGGTAAAATAATATGTTAATTGACTGCTTAATAAGTCTAGTGGTCTTCAACAAAACGACTTTTTTAATAGAATAACGGTGACAAACGAGCATACAGTCCACCTGATAATGCAAGTGGATGCTGTGGCCCATATTAGATATTGCGGCCGTAAAGGAAAAGAGGAGATCTCCCGCCCGGCAAGGTGTTCTGCCCGGGGAGCGACCAACGCTCCGTGTGATAGTTCAGAGCTATTATATATATACTGTTTTTGATTCGGAACTTTAATACCGCGATTTATGCTTCGATGTGTTTCGCTTGTGGCGAGACGACAACGCCGCCACAGACATCTACATTTACCTTCAATTAAGAATTTAAAGTGCAGATGCGATATCACCCTTGAGGATTGAAATTGGAGTGCCTTGTTTTCAGTAAAAAAGGGTCTCCGCTTCTCTACACTCACCATACCAAACACTGCAGCATTAAGCTGCTATTTTACGCTGGTATTCTGTGAGAGCGTGGTAATACCCCGATTGAGCCAATCCGTGCGTGTTGCACCACAATATAGCTGCAGCGTGGCTCTACCACGTAAAGTTGATAAGATTGATCATGTTCGGGCCATAAATCCGTTACAGGGTTTTTTTGTAAAGAAATTTTTACCAGCCTGTAGTCAGGAAGTTGGTGGTGTTTAATCCCCGTGCTTCGCACAGTTGGTCTTACGCTTGTTCTCTCGCACTCGAGTTGGTTTGCCGCCTTATCAGTCTATGAAAGTGAGCGAATAGAGAGTGCATCTGTGTTTGCTTGCACACTCGTACTCCAGTTACACGAAGATGGCAAATCTTCGTTGAGACTAGCCGCTGCGGCCGATATTGGGTCTATGGCTTTACTATAACATATTTACCTACTTAGGTACAAATCTATCTTTACAAGTATGGTAAGCATGGTAGTTTTAAGTTCAACTTACTTCTGAGGTCGACCGTGAACCCGAACACTGTTGATCGTGTTATGTACATTATTATAATACTTATATTACAAGATGGTGTCTACAGCCGATGTTATTTTATCGACAGAAGTGATCGTTTTTGAAAATACACAACAAACTACAGATTTAGTTACGCAAAATCCAATGGAATTGAATTTTAAAACAATATTTTTGATTTAAACTTTAAAAAAATCCAATCTAATAATCTCACCCGTAAACTATTATAATTTCTAGACTTATTTACTCTTTATACGTTCCGTTTAGTAATTTGGCTAATGCTGCTTAAGGTTTTCAATTAAATACCTGGGTTTAATTAACGATATTGACGTCCAATTAACTGGCTGATTACGTCATTTTACCGAGTGTATATATACATTAGTATTTTTCTCCAAGTCTTTGATGTCAATTATATTGTATTTAACAAGGTATAGTTGTGTCTTAGGTAAAGTTGTGCGCATTTTTATAAATCTTCTTCTATATCAACCAATAACAACCACTGCTGTATATGACCCATAGCTAGAAACTGCCATAGTTCATTAATCAATAATACTTCATGGACGCTAGGTTTATTTTTGTTTGAATATCATTGTTATATATTAGCCACTTCCTATCAGGTGGACATTAAATTTGTATATCATTTTAGTTTTACAACAATTTCTAAGGACGCTCTTCCTTGTCCCTGATTTCACATATCGCATATAAGTAAATACATAGAAAGATATTGGTTCCAACTGGAGTTTTTGGTATTACAAATCGTACAATTGCGGCGTACTAACCTATATGGTCCCATTGATGTCGAAGAGGCGACAAGGGAAATAAAAAAACTGCTATTGTCTACTCGCCTTCTAAGCGTGGCGACTATGGCAGAAATTATGAGTCAATTCATCCCCTTATGGGGCCTATGTGAAGCAGCGAACTTTTGATAGACTATAACGGTACATGGTAAATGACATGGGTTTGCCATAAGATAATTCAGCGCCCGATCGCATCATACGTTGTATCATAGTCGTATCATACATCGGTTGTAAGGTCGCATGATACGATTAACGGACACCCAATATGATCTCAAAATTAAACGAGAAGGTTGTAATGACATCAATCCGGAGACCTAAAATACATTTTCGACAACATTGAGTATCGTTAACATCTGTATCTAGAAATTTAGATTAGATTAACTAAAGATTAGATTATTAGATTATGCAAATATTTCCTACGACTATTTTCTTTTTATAAAATTAGATTGATAAACGAGCACACAGTTCTCCCCTGCCTGTCTGCGAATGCCTCGTTTCTAGAAAAACGGTCTCCGAATCTCTACACTCACCATACGAACCAACATAACACTCACGCCTGTCACCCAGAGTGGTAGTCAGAGACTATAGACTTCCAGTTAGCACGATCCTGACATACCTCCCTCGCCCCCCTCTATATCCATGTACCTACGCTTACATACTCGTCGGTTAAAGGTACTCTTGATTTAGCCCATTTTCAATATATCGCCAATTTGGTCAACAAACTTTCGCCTAGGACGCTACTGTCCGACTCCTCTGTTCACTTCTGCAACATAAATTTGCTTTGTCACTCTTTCCTCATTCATTCTTTCTACATGACCAAACCACCGAAGCATTCCTTTCTTAATCCTGGTCACATCATCTTGCAAACCACACTCTTCTTTTATCACACAATTTCTCTACGTGTCACTCAGATTAAGCCCTAACATACTTTTTAGCGATCGCATTTCTACTGTATTTATTCTATTCTCGTGCTTCTTCTGCCACACCCAACTTTCACTACTATACGTTAAAGTTGGGACTAATACAGCATTGTGAATTGCCATACGTGTTTTTGACACATTCTGACTTTTCAAAAATGTCATACGAAACACAGCAGTATTAAGCTGCTATTTTACGCTGGTATTCTGCGAGAGCGTGGTCCTTCCCCGGTCGAGTCGACTTATTCGTGCTAAAACCATAATATAGCTGCAGCGTGGTTCTATTACGTATAAAAACTAAGAAGCTGTCCTTAACTAGCTGTGGACTGTTAACTGTTGAATAAGAAGAAAAGAAGATACCGGGTTAACCTTTATATATGTATGTATTGTGTTGCGCCGTCATCGCACCAGGTATATTTTTGACCGTGGATGGAAATAAAATTCCACCCGGAAAGTGAGTAAGTAGCCTTGAGAGCAGTGTGTTAGTGCGAAACTTGTATTATATGTGCAATATTTTTCGAAAACTTCGATAGCGTGATTTAGACTTTGATTGTTATTAGGTCTACTTACGTTATTGTGGTGCGATGACAGCACCACAACTATTCTGCGATGGCAACCCGCAAAATCTTGTTTATAAAATGTCTTTTTACTTCTTTAGTTCTTTTATAAGAAACTATAAATTTTCAACATACTATACTTTTAATTCTACCAACTGAGGTTCCTCTTCCGATATAAATATGAACTTTAAAAAGTATATAAACTTACGTTGGCAAAACAGATGCTCCCTGTGCACTAAAAGAATAGTATTTACATCACTGAGCTGTTCTTCATTTGATGAACACCGGCTATTACAGCCCAAGGAGACCTTCAATCGACTTCGAACAGGGAATATCAGATATTTTAGAAACCTGTCGTTTAATGTGAAATGTCTTCTTCAAACCAGAACTCAGCAATACATTGCTGCTTAGAAACAAAAGTGATTCGGATGATATTACCAATCCGGATGTAATCCAGGCAACTCCAGGCGTCCGAACATAAAAATAAGATTTAGGCAGATATGGTCCTAATGATCGATATATTCGAGCGTGCATCGGTACATGTGATGTGCATGACAAAAAACTTTTCTTGTGTATGTGTCGTAAGCTTCGCTACTCTAAAATGTTTTGTTATTTTTATTATTTGTTTTTATTAAAAAAAACACAAATATTCAGACATCTGAAGGTGCGTATAGAACTAATAAAAAAACTATAAAAATTTTTACCTTTGCAGAACATACGCCGAGTAATTCCTGAAATCATTGAAGTTGTCAATAGTTAGACAAAATGCGCAATATAACCAAAACGATGTTTATTGACTATCTTTATAAACCGTAGTTTAAAGTCACAATTTCTTTAAACTGTGCTTAAACTATGATGTATAAAGTCTCTCTAACTTTCCATCTAAAGAATTCCTTTAGCCACGGCGGCACAGTCTTTGGGATGTTCGCATTTGCCGCCAAATTCCACACTTTATATTATAGTTCACATATTTCGTCGGGACTTCTTTCGTGAATTAGATTGTAGCTTAACTTATTTCGTGACTATAAACTAATTTTATAATTATTCTAAAACTAGTAGCACGATCACAAAATATTCAAACCGTTAGGTTAGGAACTATTCTTATTTATGAGTGAGTTAAAAAGTATAAAAAGTGAAAAAACCCTTGAATTGCCACAAAAATTAGCCCTAAGATAATACATATAAGGCATGTTAATCTGTACTGTATAATATACTACCTGACTTAAGCTTGATAAAATAACCGTCTGCAAAAAAGGGTTAATATCAAAATCTAGTTTTCTTATATAAGTTCAGTTCAGTTAATAAAATAATAATATTACTATTATTATTAAAAACGAAGAAGTAATAAGAACACGTATTTGTGAATACATTGCTGTGTCTGTATTACAATAATTGTTGAAGTAATCTCACGCATAAAAGATGATTGGGCAATTCGTTTCACTGACAGATGATTAATTACGAGATTAACAGAACATTCATCAAATTACTTTTATACTAAGGTACGTTGTTCGTAAAGTGTAGACTTCACTACGAACAACAAACATAACAAACAAACTAAAACTAACAATTTAGTTGCTGGTAAATTGTCTTCCACGTGCTCGAGTCACGCTGCAGTTGAATTATGGCTGCAGCACAAATAGTTCCGTTTAACTACCCGGGGTCTACGCACACACATATTTTCAGACGTAAAATAGCAGCTTAATACTGCTGTGTTTCGTATGGTGAGTGTAGAGAATCGGATACCCTTTTTACTGGAAATGAGGCATTCCATCTTAGTACTCAGGGGCGACAACTCATCTGCGTTTTGATTCTTAATCGAGGATAAATGTAGATATCTATGGGCCGCAGCTTCCACTTACTATCAGGTGGACTGTGTTTTCATTTGTCCATATTCTATGAAAAAAAAATGTTCGATCTCAAAACGTTCGACGAGTATTTTTACTAACTAATACTTAACTCATTACATCAAAAACGACCCGAGCAAAAATTTCGATATTATTAGTAGAAAAAAAAAACTTTTTTGAAATTTTTGACAACGATAACTTTCTAATGGATCAACTGATATTGATGTAATTGGTGGCAATCGACGAGGTATTTTAAGAAACGTAATAAAATGTATTGTAAAAAAGATTAAACAATAAATTCAAAAGTTTTGTTCAAAAGTTGTGCTCGCACACACGCACGCACACACGCACGCACGCACGTACGCACAGCCTATTAAGGTCATCGACGAATGAAGCCTCTCCGTATGTTGCCTCATAAGGGGGATATTTGCCATAGTTGCTACAAGGTCAAGTTTAGTTCTATTATGAAAATATAAACGTAGGAACCTGCATACGTTAAACTGCCAAACACATCCTTCCCCCATTATTTGCGGGTCAAGTAGTTCTTTATCAACTATAAATGTAGGAACCTGCATACGTTAAACTGCCGAACACACCCTTCCTCCATATGTTAAATGGTTTTAGAACGCAAAGCGACCGCGGTACTGCCTGTACATGCTGGTCTAAGGTTCACACGTCCTCAATATATATATATATATATATATAAAATATATATAAAAAAATTTATATATATATATATTGAGGACGTGTGAACCTCAATTGCTTCATAGCTGAGCACAGTCAGGAGAGTAATGCTGTCACACACTTAATAATAGTATATATAGGTAGTAGACTATTTATTGCAAGTAAAAAGAGGGGTAATGACTTGTGTTGCGTTCACGCGCTTGTTTCATCTCTCATTCAGGACTGGAATGGTGCCCAAATTTTAGAAGTTGGTCAATGTGCAGCCTGTGTCTAAACGAGTTAGGTGTGCCGACTGTGCCGACCCTGCCAACTATCGGCCAATTTCAATCACCTACATATTCTGCAACACTTTGGAGAGTATATTGAACGCTCGCTTAATGGCATATCTAGAACAGAATGACCTCCTTAGTAACCGGCAATACGGGTTTCGCTGAAATCGGTCAGCTGGTGATGTCTTAGCATATGCCACACACGTATGGGGCGAGGCACTCGAGAACAGTGGGAAAACACTTGCTGTTTCCCTTAATGTCTCGAAGGCATTTGACAGAGTTTGGCAAGCTAGCCTTTTGGATAACCTTCCAGCGGACGACTTATTCTCTGGTCTGATTGAATGGGTAAAGGATTTTCTGAATGAACGGTCTCTCCACGTCGTCGTCGATGGCTGCTCATCCTATCTTATGGCGACTGACGCCGGTGTTCCTCAAGGATCCCTTCTCCCGCAAATCTCTTCCTGCTGCTTAATAATGATCTGCTTATGCCCGGTATCTATGGGTATGCAGACGATAGCACAGTTGTGGAGAAATAACAACCAAGTGCCCAGGCCAGACGGAATCAAATCTAGACTTTTTGTACGAGATCGGGCAAACGAGCATACGGCTCACCAGATGGTATGTGATTACCGCCCCCCATGAACAACTGCATCACCAGGGAAATTGCAGATGCGTTGCCTGTCTTTTAAAAAGTAGTAGGATCTTTCTTGAAGGTCCCCAAGTCGTATCGGTCCGGAAAAATCTCTGGTGGTAGTCGATTCTTTAAGGAAGTTTTGCGAGGAAGAAAACTTCTTTTCCATCGCTCGGTGGTGGACCGCCAGTGTGCGATGGTGAAATGGTGCGGCTGGAATTAGTCCGAACATTTCCTTAGAGCACTCACCGTGGCGGATGCGATAAAATACGCAAAGAGATGCAACATCGGATCGGAAAGAGCTCGGTCGCCGACGATTCAAACTGCTCTGCGCTGGATACAATCAAATGGAAGCAGCTGGCACTGGGGAGCTCCCACCCAGAGATGAGAATAGTATCCCATGTGAGGTCGAACCTGCGCAGTGTTGCAGGCGGTGAGCCGGCATGAAATACTGTCCTGCTCTGCTGAGCACGCCAAGCTTTTTAGAGGCCAATTTGACCTTATCTTCCAAGTGACCACGAAACTGCACGTCTCTCGATATGTCGACGCCGAGGATTCCGATACTGGCTGAGGCAACCAGGAGTTCTTTTTCGCGGTAAACGCGCAATCTAGTATCTTCTGGGGATTAAACTGGACTAGATTTAGTCTTCCCTATTCTGAGACTTTGAATAACAATGTCTTGACTTCAGACACAAGTTTGTCCAGGTACTCGGCGACGTTTTCCCGAGAAATATTGGCACGGCCGGTGTATAAAGCATCACCAGTGCTGAAGGAGAGGCTATGGTAGAGCGTGTGAATCTGACACTACAGGCAGTCTCTGAATGGGACGATGCCAATCTCGTGAGATTCAACGCCTCCAAAACACAAGCGTGTCTTTTCACCGCTAAAAGGAGCCCCCTCGTCCCGGCTCCTACTTTCTGGAATGTGTCCTTGGAGTATACTGAACACCTTCAGTTGTTAGGGGTTGAATTTTCTCCGAACCTCAACTATGGGCGGTTCATAGAGTCCAGAGCCAATGTAGCTGCAACGAAACTTGGTGTTCTTGCAAGGGTATGGCGGTACTTCACTTCAGCAGCACTTAGCATTTAGGCAGCTTCTTACCTTATATAAAGCGCAAGTCCGGTCGTGCATGGAGTACTGCTGTCACGTATGAGCTGGTGCTGCTAAATTCCACCTGACAGCTTAGACTCAGTGGAGAGACGTGCTAAGAGGCTTATTGGTGATCTTGATTTGGTTGAAACCAACCTTGTCAGCCTCAAGCACAGGCACGGATTGGCCAGCCTGTTGGTATTCTATAGGATGGATTTCGGTGATTGTGCACAGGAATTGCACGCTTTAATTCTTCCTTCTCCTTTTCACCATCGGATGACCAGGCGGTTGGCGGGTCTTCACCCCTTCGTTTTTTGAGATGGTAGATATTTTATAGAGTAGATATTAGATTTTGCTTCGACCTATTTAATACGTACAGCAAAGGAGTGGAATAATTGGCCGGCATTTATCTTTCCTTCCGAATACAATCTGGGCGTCTTCAAGGCAATAGTGAATAGTCTTTGTTACGCAGCGACAGTGCCATTCACCATCTAACCTGCTGCTGTATCACCACTTACCACCAGGTGGGATTGTGCTCAAGCACTGGCTTTTTACAAGTTAAAAAATTGAGCTGTTAAAAAGGTTACTGGTGAAAATAAACGTACAGATAATATATAGAAAACTGATTCGATAAACTTATTTCGTAAAGGGTGGTATGATAAATAAAACATCAATATCGTAGTTACACGTACTTTATTACGACGACTGATTTTGATGCTATGATAATTAAGATTGTACGGTCAACAAATCTAATGATAGTTCATAATACGTAATATTTAGTTTCAAACGCGGAATACATATTGAGTTTAAATTGATACAATAATGTAGTTGCACATTTAAATCTAATAAATAGGTTAAATTTTCTACTTTATTAATAATATAATTTTGCTAAAAGTGGTGAATTTATATACACATACATTAAGTACGAATTTAAGTCATAGCTTTTCAGTAAATGTTACGAGTATATACAGTTTTAACTCATTAAGAAAGAAGAAAGACCTGTTATGTACACGTTGACTTATGCCTTTTGTAAGCCCCTTTATATAATAACTAGTTGATCCCTCTTACAATCAGCTCATCGGTACCAGTCCACATCAATAGAAATTGAAAATATTATCATAGATTTTTTACAAATTAAAATAAATAAATAACACGTGCAAGGTAGAGACGCTACGATATGAAATTCCGCTTCGAGGATGAACCTAGTCAGGACAGGTGAAGAACTTATAGAAGAAAATTTTGTGATTATTATGATTATATTACTAATAATCGTGCAAGTTCCTCGTCAAAGATCTAGGTCCACTTGTTTCGTACCACGGAACTAAGTCGACGTCCCCACATCAGATGGTATCATACTATGGTACCCTGCAAGTGTTGAGGATCTGGAGAGGGCGGCGGCAGCGAGGGAGTCATGGATGTTGATGGAAGTGCAGCTGCCATCTCTTGATATCCTCCTAGAGAAATTCCAGCGCTTGAACTTCCACAAAACATACGGTCTCGTGGACACTCATCTGGTGGGGTAACTTCCAACCCAATGCTGCCATTTAATGCAATTTTTATGGCTGCTGCATTTTGTTGCTGCTGTTGTTGCTGGTGTTGAAGCAAAGAATTGAAATGCGATATGCCGATCTCCTCTAAGCTACTCTTTCTGCGCCGTCCAACGCCACTCAGTCCTTGACGGAGTGAATTTGATCGACGCAGGAGAATATCGTCGACCACACGCAGTGAGTTTGAGCGGCCACGGAAGTCAGTTAAAATAGTGGGGCTGTCAGGCAATGACAGCGAATTAGCTTTAGTTGTGGAAAGGGGAGGTGCTCGAGGCTGATTGTAACTTGAGCCGATAACGGAACCACGACGACTGGCAACGCCTTGCGCTTGAATTATGGCTTGAGAACAGAAGCTAATGTTAGATTTACGGCGGCTGTTGTGCCTTTCAAATGTTTTTTGAGCAGAAAACGGAGACGGACGAACCAGGTATCTGAAAATAAATTAACGTTAAGTTATGCATTTCTTTTGCAACCACGGAATTTAATTGTTTTAAAAAAAACCTTACATTATATCTCCCTCTTGCAGGTTTAAGTCGCAACTGGGGTTTATGATAACGTAGGACAGGCTATTTCTTTTCTCGCTCACGTCATCGTAGTCGACGCCGGTGAGGTTCAGAGACTCCATCCTTGAGCGGACAAGGTTGGCAATTTCGGCTCTTTCGATTTGTTGCACATGATTGTCTCTGGCTTCATCCGCCAAGCTCGTAGAATACTGTAAAATTTTAAATACATTTAATTGTATTCAATCGGTACATTGCCTTATGAAGCTACTTTTATGTGAAGGATTTGAAAAACTTTACAGTTGTTGTAAATTTAGCACATTAATAGAGTTATCATTGTTTTATGTTTTCGTATCTAAATTTACAAGTAATAACAATTATTTTGCCATGCATATGATGATTTAAATTGAAAAATGATTGTGTATTTGACTGGTAAAAAATATTTAAGGAATACGATGTATTTAAATAATAAAAAAATATTGATGCATTATTATATTCGTACTCATAACAAAATTCTAGATATCGTAATCCTTAAATAATAATGCACATAGTATTAAGTCGCGGAAAAAGTTTCTTCGGATTTTGTATACATTTTTTTAAAAAGTTTAATTACATTTAATTATCATATATACGAGAGTGACACTGAGAGTTCTTAGAAAGTCATAAATTGAACAAAGTAGCAAGTTATTAGTCTTATTATATTTTTTCATAAAAGTGTCCATTTACATAAATACATCGCTGCATCCGATGGAACCACTGAGAAAAGCACTTTGTCCACTCGTCCTTAGGGGTCTCTACGACGGCATTTTAAAACGCAGCCACTGCTTCCTCGATGTCAATAAAACGTTTTCCTCGAAGTTTTTCTTTTATTTTCGGAAATAAATAAAAATCGCAAGGTGCGAGGTTAGGGCTATAGGGCGGGTGACCCAATAATTCCACGTTTGACGTCGCCAAGTGATCGATTGTTTGCTTGGCGGTGAGCGACGAGGGGTTGTCGTGGTGAAGGAGGATCCTACTGCGAGGTCGTTTCTACCAAAGTTTTTCCAAGACAAGTGACAAACAATTTTTAATGTACCACTCTGCAATAACTGTTTTTAAATCCTCTAAAACAATTATTGCATAATGACCTGTCCTTCCGAAGAACGAGGACACCATATTTTTCCCACGCTTCGACCTCTCTTCACTTTAGTTGGCACAACTTCGGAAGGAAACACCCAGACAGCAGACTGTCTCCTAGTTTCAAGATCATAACAATAAATCCAGCTTTCGTCCAGCTTTCGTCCAGTATGTCGAGCACAGCATTTGAGTCAACTCCAGAAACCAATCAGACACGACAGAGTTTTTGGGCCTGTGTGAAAATCTTCCTGACCGCTAAATGTTCATGGAGGATTTTGTGCACTTGACTGATAGTGATGTCTAAACTTGCCTGAATGTGCTGATAAGTCACTCTTTTGTCAGTCTCCATCATACGCCGCACAACACTGATGCTATCTTCAGTCGTGGTTGTAGAAGGCGTTCCTCACGCAGATCATCGGTGAGATTAGTGCACCTTTAAAGTCATTAAACCATTTGCAAACAGTGGCACGAGACGGGGCTTCATCGTGAAAGGCCAATCGAAGTCTATCATAACTTTCTTGTTCACTTAAATGACATGGAAAGTTATAAAAAATCATTGTACGAAAATTTTCGCGCGTTAAATTCATGCTGACGTGACACAGACAGTTTTCAATTTGTTGCCAATTCGTAAACAAATGACAAATTAATAAAATACATACACAATAATATTGGCAAAGAGCTCCATTTTCAAAATTTGAACTTATTTTTTATTACATCGTTTACAAATGGCCAGTTCTAAAAACTTTCAGTATCGCCCTCGTATGTGTCATTTTGTCCGATAACTTGTTGCCATAATGTAGGAAGTGACATAATCCCGTCGCTTAAATAAAAAAAACAATTAGTTTTGAAAGTCCTCTCTTGATGTTAACTAAACACTACGCAAAGAAATCTGAGAAGACTGGTACTAGAGAAAATCTGAGGGTGTAAGGTAGGACTATATGGTAGATACATTAACACTTCCAAACCAAGCTCTCTCAATTTTTGCTGAGTGGCCAAATATGTGTGTGGTCTGGCGTTATCAAGACGCAAGAGCACTTTTTCTGTTAATCAGTTCCGGACGTTTTTTTATCAATTTCTTGCTTGGTTAGTTGTTGGCATTAAAGATCCGAATCAGTGGTTTTGCCTGGCCGTAAACGCTCATAATAAACGATGCCCTTCCGATCCTATCATCCACACAGCATCACCTTATTATGTGTAAATTCTGGTTTCGTTACAGTCTGTGATGCTTGACTACCTTTTTTCGCACGTTCATGTCGTAGGTGATCCACTTTTCATCATCGGTAATCAATCATTCCAATAATGGTTCGGTTTCATTACGTTTCAATAGAAAGTCTCAAATGAGTATACCATTTATTAGGTTTTATTGAGTGAGCCAGTGTGGTACCCAGATATCGAGCCTTTTTGTATAGCCAGACTTTTTCAAATGGGTCTAAACTGTTTAATGGTCAATCCTGAATTCCTCGGATATGTATTCACTACAAATATGCTGATATTGTTAAACTTTTTCAAAAATGGCATCAAATTTATCCGTATGATGATGATGGTGAGCTGCATCTTTGACATTAAAATTACTGAACTGAAAATGCTTGAACCAACTTTGTGCTACTCTCACTGACACGGCATTAAGTCCTACGTTAGTCCTACGTTATTAAGTTAAACTTTTTTTCGCGGCTTAAGTCACATTTTTCCTTTTTTAGTAATAAAACTTCAGAAATATATAGAATTTCTTCGTTATATTCACTTATTTTGGCAGACAGGAAAACAATCGAAAATGGCGGTAAAGTGTTTTTTACCTTTTATGTTTTTTCTTAATGTCTTATATGTATTGATATTAAAACTAGCCACGTACGAACAGTAGAACCATAGAGATTTTTCTTCAATTTTATACAAACGAAATACGACGAAACTTTTTCCCCGACCGATAAACTTATATTCAACAAAGTCAGTCCCAAGAAACTGTTGTGGTTGAAAATAGTCCTCAGTTGAAACAGCTAAAGTCTAGGTCTATTACTAGTACAATGTGAAGAGAAGAAGGAACACCGCTTAGGCGTGGTTTGCACTAGAGGGTTAAATTTGATAAGGGAAGGATTTTGATGCATTTTGCTTTATATATTCTTTTAACAATGTGCATTAATTTTACACTAAAAACTTTACCTTTGCGTTTCTATCGTCAAATGTTTATGTTTAGCTTCCTTCGCCCTTTTCATTTATCTTTTTAAGCTTACGTTAATTTAAATATTCATAGGAACATAACAAATTTTTATTGGTGTCGCGATTATAGTAGTTTAATCGTGCTCTTCGACTCTATTCGCTATTGTTATGTAAATTGCTATCGCAAACACTTAAGAGTGCACGGATGAGTGTTATACAGAATAATTAAGATTGGAAGATTTCTAGGGTTGTTTAAAACAAGAGTTTTAATTAGCTCCTGTGGGGCATCAGTTAGGGCTCCCCACCGGTTGCTTACCGCTGGCGTGCGCTCGCCGTGGCAACCACCAAGGCAACCGGTCGGCTCCCCGCGCCCTGCCGCATCATCACCGCCTTCCCCCGCCTCCTGCTGCAACTGGTGAGTCACACCACTACTCAACCACGAACGAATGGACTCTATTTCTCATTCCATAGCGAAGCCGACAACCAACTAACGATGTTGCATTGCCATGCATTTTCAAATAATTCATTGATTTTAGCTACAATTCTGTTAATTATTTAATATTGACGTTGGTTTTTCATCAATATAATCAATAAGCAAAAGCATTTTGCAAACTACTATTCTTAGTGATTTAATCGTTTCTGTATGAAATATGTATTTTTTTAAAACTGAGTTTAGGTTTAAAATGAAACCTATTTGGCTACGATAATTAAAGAACAATTGCATAAATATCTAGTCTTTATATTTATCTATAACATAACATGCATCAAACACTACGAAGAGTTAAGAAGGCGGGATTGCGATCATCGAGATGCGTTCGACAGAGAATTGTAGGCCAATATTTTCGTTGGATTTTTAGTATAGTTTAGCTAAATACGTTATTGTTAATTGTTTTCGGGCGGGATAATTTTAATCCTCCTTAAATTTTAGTTGAAAGTGCCCACGCAGAAGCAAAAAAGATAATTATTTTGGCTACAGCAGATTGCGAAGAAATAATAGAAAATAAAGCACGTGTACCTTAAAAAATAAAACCAGGTAGTGTGTAAGATATAGAAACTCATATAGATGCCAGAGCTAATTACAGTCACGCCACAAGTGTCAGGCTCGAGATGTACATGTAGACAGTTTACAATAATGAAAGAGTGTGAAATTGACGCGAGAAGAGTACAAAAAAGATATAATATTAAAGATTAACCCGAAATACAGTCCAAAGACTCGGGACTACTCAAAGGACAGATACGTGATAAGAATAAACAATTTGGAATAAACTAATTGTAAAATGATGTAAGATGTTTCAATAACTGCGATAGGTAGACGGCGGCGAAGGACTGTATTTGAGGAATATATTGCCTTAGTTAGGAGACCGACTCACCGATGCGCGCGATGGTCGCATTCTCGCGAAGCGTGACCAGAACCACTTTGACGGGGCCCCTGGCGACATACTCACGTGGTGCGTGGGGTCGGCCAGGCTTGTATCCTGGGTACGATAGATTCCAATCGGAATTTCACAAGTGGTGGAACACAATTTTTGGTATAGTCGCCCGTATGTACGGATCCACATGTCTTCTTTTGTAATTTTCATCTGTCACAAGTCCAAGCGTTAGTTTGGCAGGTGACATAAGAAATTTAAATAAATTGATAAACTTTGCTTCAGTAGTTTTCGCTTAATATAGTTATATGTATTCGCAGAGCATGAGTATGACCAATGAAATGACGATGAGGTAATGTCTTCGCAGAAAACGCCAGCATTTCGCATTAAAGTTAGGCACGGTTTATAAACGCGTCTTACACTTACCGAGGTGAGAAATCCCGAACCCGGGGCTTGATCAACGCCTAGTAGGAGCCTCACAAAAGTAATGACATAATCTTTGACAAACGCTTGGTACAGCAACGTGTCGAGCATGGAGGCGGAAAATACGGAGCCTGCCGCAAATGGTAATCGGAACATGTACGAGATATGTGAACCACGTTCCTTTTCACGCTGTCAAATATTAACACGATTAATTAGGTACATATCCATGGACAAACAACAAAGGGCTCGGATCAGTTACATTAATATCACCTTTTCCATTTTAGACAAATGCAAAGCATATTTATCATGCGCTCTAAATTGCATGAAACGCATATTTGACGATTGGGATAGCTCCGTAATCGATTTAATTGATGGAAAGAATCTGCAAGAAAAACAATCTCTTACTTATAATTAAATTGTATCTATTCAAAGTTATTAGACAAAACATACGCCTGCGTCGTCGTATACTAAACAACTCTACGATAGTGTATAATAGCGTTAGCAACGCCTTTTTTATTATGTTCGCGAGCATCAAAGAACATAGTTCGCAATCGCAGACTTATACTATACTAAATAAATAATAAGTATAAGTATTTTACTTGAACATTGTTTGAACAGCAACTATAGTGTTGCAATCGGCAAGGCTGTCCTCCTCGGCGGAATTAGATAATTCTTTATTCACAACCACTACGTTCTCAGCTAGAGTTATTCCAGCTCGCAACAGATCATCCAGACTGAAAATAATGGTAATAGTAAGTAGAAATATGAAACACGAAACTTCATTAACACGATTGACATAATCACTTGCGTTTTGTGAATTTTATAAATTTCTCTTACCAGTCAATTGTACCGAGCATCCAGTAAACAAGAGGAAAATAAGAAATTGCATCCAAAAATGCAATATCAGGACGACGTTCCAACAGCAGTATTATTGGGTTCAGAGAAGTTTTTGATCTAAAATGCGCCCGTAACGGAATAATGAAGTTATAGATTCCATTAGATGCGTAATCCGCAGCAAGGATGATTGTCTTGTTTTGCCATTGATATTCCTTGGCGTTACGATAGGCACAGTGTTCACAGACTTGCGCCAGCTGCAGGCAGCACAGGGGCTTCTTCTCTTTCAGCAAGTAACACAGAGTGGGACTCACGCCAATGAATGGCGACACAGGTGGAAAGCCTTTTACAATCCTGCGAAATACAAAGTGTCTACATTGGAATCCCATCGAGATTTATCAAATTTTACGAAATGTATAGCACAAGCAAAGCTAAAAAATAATACGTATAAAAAAGGTTATATTAATTTTTGTTTAACATACTTACGAGTACAAAATACTTAGTCTCTACAAGTTCCAGTTAGAAACTTTAAAATATGTAGTCCATTTAGATATTCTTAAGGGAACTATCCAAATAGATACACATAACAGAATGGATTATTAGTGCTCATTACTCTAACAATCAACATCAAATCTTGTAGATTTTCATGCTTAACTATTTTAGAAGGGTCAAGTGCATAGGAAACACACTAATATAACGGTAAATAATAAAAATATTCCTTCATGGGTAGATTTTGTTATTTGTTGGTCAGGCTAAGAGCGTTCGACAGCGGCTGTCGGCGTGAGCCGCTGGTCGTGGTCTCACCTCGAGAAGTCGGTGCGCCAGGCGCTGCGCACGTCGCTGCCCCCCACCGACGAGAAGCTGCTGTTGTGGTCCTCGCTGCGGCAGAGGAACGGCGCGCCCGCGTGGGACATACGCTCGATAGTGTACGACACACAATGCACACAGTCGCAAACGCACTCTCTGTACATTCTGTATTACATGTACAGTGCACACTAGTTCTAGTAGGGATTCAGCAGATATGTCTATACTTATATATGTTTTATAAAATATATACTTAAATGTCAATTATGGTACTGATATGTTAAAAGAGTTATTAGTATTTAAATTTGTTCTGGAAGCTGTATTGTTATAATATATAAATACAAATTAAGCACAGGGAGGTGATGTGACTCAATCTATGCTCATTAATTTAAAAAAATATTTTTTTTTGTAAATTACACGTGAAAAATAAGATTTATGAATTAATTTTTGTGCGTTTTGTATAGTTAACCAATATTATAAATGACAATTTACATCAGCTCCCAAAAGATGACGTGGGCTGAGGATCGAGCTAGCTATTGCTGTTATGGAAAAGCACAGGAGGCTATGAGTAGAGATGCAAACAGATGAAACATATTAGGGCTAAATGGCGAGTGAAAAAATTGTTCTAGTGAAAATTGAGATAAAATATTTAACTAGTAACAAAATATTTTATTTTATTTTTATAAACGATTTTAATATCGTACTGCATTTCTGTCCTCGCCAAATTGCATAATAATATGAAATAAAATGACGTACGTATGGTGTTCAGTTCATGCAGCCGACGTGGACGTTTATCTAAGAATGTACACGCTAAAACAACGAGAGAAAAAACTAATGTCGTATATCGATCCGATTATACAAAAAAAAAATACTGGAGATTAATCTTCAGTTTTTTTTTTACATTGAATGATCTTTAACGACATGCTGAAACCTCAGATCAGCCAAGAGAAATAGATGGAGCGTGCGAGATTACGCACATTTCTAGAGCTTAACTTCGACAACTAACTTTGACACGCACTCGCAAACAAATCTTTTTATATTAATTTCACAATCCATAAAAGTTTATGATTGTATCATAGCTGTGGAACTAAATCATGTTGTTGGTTTCAGATAGTTTTGAATGCATGTCTGTACATGAGCGCGTGTTCTTATGAACGCAGCGCTCCGTGGCTCTTTCTTTGTTGATCTGAGGCTGAAACATAAATAAGCAAAATATAAAGAAAATTATTTTATTTGTGAGATTTGAACTTTGTGGATAATCTGATATTATAATGTTTTATTTTATATGACATAAAAGGAATATAAAAATAAACTTTCAAAAAAGAAATACGCGCTGCGTATTTACTAACTGGAAAACTATTTCTTACCTAAAAGAAATATTAAAAGAATAAACTGAAGTTAAAGTGGAATGTGAGAGTAATATAATAATGTGCGTGCATGAGAGGCATCCGTTTGGAGTGCGATGAGAGAATCTTACGCAATTTTTTCTGACGGTGAACGCCACGGTACGTTGTCCTCGAGCTCATCTTCGCTCTCATCAACTTCAGGCTCTTCATCTTGATTATCAGATGCTATGTTTAGACTCGATGTCACCATATCAGGCACCGGTAAAATAGATGGTCTGCGACTACCTGCATCCATGTCTACGTTTTAATTGTTTTACGATCTGTTCGCCCTCAATTGCATGTATTTTGATTGAACTAGTTAAATAGTCTTAAATACTCCTTGCTGAATTTGAGTCTCTCTTGCAGAAGAGATAATATGCTATAATCGCTAGGACAGACAAAAGTTGGCTTGCACTTGTATCACTGCTTACTTAATTATCTACTTATATCTCATGTGGTAAAATGTAAGATAGTTGCTCATTAATCGTAGACAATCTAGGTATTATCTTAAGTTGCCGCTTGTGACAATTGCGGGATGAATTGGGATGACGGATCTACTAAGAGGCGATGTGAAATTACGATGGTATCTAGAGATATATGATATTTGTTTATCTTGTCTTATGGATACAACCGATTGCTGTGACTACTGATAGAATTTAACACGCATAAATTACATTGTCATATACGTTATACATAAATATTATATATTTATTTATTTCATGATGTTCATAAACAGAACATGAAATAACTTTTGAGTTCATTATTGATATCAATTTGTAACACATAAAAATGTTTCTAAAAACGTGAATGTATCAAAAAGAGAAGATGCAGTACCTCTACGATAGTTCAGAGAATCAGGGCTCAAAAAGTTACTGTTATCAGGTCGCGGAAGAAGTAGATGACTATCGCTTGCGCTATCAGTAGCTGGAGATTCCTTCAAACAACTACGAGATTCAGAAGTGGAAGTTCCCTCACCGTATTTCGCTGAAAATTAACAAACATTTTATTTTATTTTTGAAAGTTTTTTTTTTTATATCACGATAGTAACTAATAGTCTAATGATGGTAAGTTATAAACTATACACCATTTAAACTAAAACGTAACAGTCGACACACTGAATATTATCTTACAACAGAAATAGGTAAGAGAAAAAGTCCGAGGCATAAATTTAGTGTTTCATAGAAATTTTATCATAAAACCTTTTCTTTAATAGTTAATATTTTCAATGGTTTACTGAGATGAAAGCAAAACTTTCTATTTTTGTGTATTGTACAGACATATATATAAGTTATTATTGATTAACAGTGTTATTAGATGGATCTTTGTGGCATGGATATTGCATAATATTATGAATTTGACACGAATTTAATCGCATGAAATTTAATTTAAAAGCAGTGAAATGTTTTTGAGCGGCGCTGTACTATACTATACTATAGTATACTGTCAGTTGGAAGCTTTTAGTTGTATTAAGAAGGTCTTGTCGTGGTCGAAAGCAGTAAGAAGGACATCATCATTACAATGAACGCCTTTTTTTTTTAGAGATGACGAGCATGGTGTATTAAATATCAACTGGATTAATTTTAATTCTGAGAAATATTTTATAAAAGAAAATATGTAAATATCTCAATAAAGCACTACCTGTATAATATTTTAAACTGATTGCATAATTAACAATGGGGCGGCTGAAATCACTGGGCGTAAAGTTATAAGCTGACCGAAGGCAAAAGACGGCAGATAAATGTTACCTTATATACGTTGCGCCGAGTGATTCAATTATGATTTCAATATTAAATCACGATCTACCAAAAAAATTTAACCATCATAAAAATACAGCATGCAAGTAATTCGTTGAGTGAGTTATTAATTTAATAAGATTAAACTGATAATGTATGTCTCAGATCAATAAAATGCTTACTCGCGACTTGCCTGGAACGACCGAAGCTCTGCAGTGCAAAATCTTGATATTTGTAATTTATTACATAAAAAGCATGTTACTATTTCCAAGAATATAGTTCCTCGCGGAAAAAATATGTAACAGTTTAATGTCGATTTATCAGTAATTAGTTTTAGATAATTTTATTGGTGTTCAAGGATAGTTTTAAAATTAAGTTTGATAATATGTTTGAGCTCGTTTTTCCTAATATTTTATTTATTTTCAAAAAGTCAATTTAAGACAAGACTCGGATCAACTTGAGCACATACAACTAATTGGTGGACCGAAATGCAAGTTCGATTAAAGTTATTCGTCGAACGTGCATGGTCCACAAGCGATAATCTAACTGTGACACTCACAACCAGCAAGAGTAAAATTAGCGGATGATGCGGTGTTAGCTTGATTGATGCGGGATGGCGATGCGATTGGTGTTGAATTAATGGGAGCCTGAAGAATCACTTGCGGGAGTTCGTACTGAGGCGCGCTCCTACCGTCTGCTCTCCTCTGCCGGCTACTGCCCTCCTCAGGATCATCGAGTTTCTTTTCGTTAGATAGAAGACTACAGGCGGTTTGATCTTTTGGTAAATTCGGCATGTTATCGGTTTGTTTATCGGAAACGACAAAGGCCGAGTTCTCTTCTTTAGTGATGCTCATGTAGTAGCAGGTGTCACTGCTTTTCATTATATGTCGTGGGCCGGGATTCAAAAGAATAGTGTCTTCATAAAATTCAGGCAACTCAGAAGGTCGCACTCCAACCAAAGCCACGCCGTATCTAAAAAACAAAAACAAAATCAATAAAATAGGATTCCAGTTTATTGGATAATATGTAAAAATTAAACTGGCATTAATTTTAATACTTACTTCCTGTGTGAATGAAAACTAGCGTAAGTGAAGCTTTTGCCCTCGTATTCACCGAAAAAGCGACTGTCTCCAAGAACAATGTGGTAGATCTCATTTCCAGAGCATTTGCCGTAAAGGCGGTGCCATTCTTCTGGCGATTGTTGTCCTTCCCTGCATTTGTAACAAGACATTAACGTTAACAGCGTAATTATTGTTGTTAAGTTTTCAGTAGAGTATAAGCTCATAAATCTGTCTCTGATATAGATAAAAGTGTAAGGACTAACTATAAAACATTTAATGAAAATAATATATTGTTACGGCAACTGTTGCGTATTATCACGTAGCGCGATAATGTTCCCGATGATCAGGGTCAATTTGATTTATCAAGTAATAAAATGTGTAGATATAATATTAGATAACATTCAAACTATATGAAGCCTTTTATTCTTTGTACATTTTGTTATCGAGAGTGTTGTAGTACATTCCGGTTGAAAGAGTGGAATTACTGGAATGACCTGGGTTAGACTAGGTCCGTATTCCTCTTATATAGAGTATTGGATAATTAATTAATACGAGAACGCAAAAGTGGACTATACTTTGGAAAGCGATTGCCAGCAATCAACCTACGACATCCGCGGTTTTTAAGGACCTCACCGAAGAAGCTTAGCGATTTTGGACGACGCATTTGATTACTTGCTGTGGGTTTGGAAGAAAACATCCATTTCTAATCCTAATCGGCATTTTTTCTCACTCCAACAATATAATAATATAAGTTACAGCCTATATACGTCCCACTGCTGGGCACAAGCCTTCCTCTCATATCTGAGAGGGTTTTAGGCCAAGGAAGTGTCCGCCGCGCTGCCCCGATGCGTATTGGCGAACTTCATGTGTCTTCGAAATATTAACAATATATATATATATATATTTATATATTGTTATATATATATTATATTATATATAAAAAAACATGTACAATATACAAAAAACAAATATAAAAAAACAGATAATTTATAAAAAGAGTTCTTTTTACAGCTAGTTCTTTTCAACTATACTATCAGAGAAATTCTCTTCGACATGATAGCTTACAGTTACTATTGAATGAATTCCACAGCTATCTGTACGCGCATTGTTTTAAATTGTGACTAGTCTACTGTTGTATCTAGAATGCCTAAATCCTTCACACGTGGTAGGCGTATTGATAATCGCAATACCACATGTCTCGTACCTTTGACGTCTTTCCTTGTGACCTGGCTTAGACGAGATGGATGGTGCAATTTTTCTAGTATTTGCCATAGTTGGCTTTTACGACACCTTTGGTACGGGTAGGATTACAAACGAGCACACAGTCCGCCTGATGATAAGTTGATGCTGTGGTCCATAGACATCTATATCTATTCTCGATTACGAATCAAAATGCAGATGTGTTGCCACCCGTGAGGACAAGATGGAATGCCTCGTTTACAGTAAAAGGGGTATCCCGTTTTCTACACTCATCATACAACACACACACACACACACACACACACACACACACACGGCAGCATTAAGTTGGTATTTTACGCTGGTATCCTGTGAGATCGTGATCTTTCCCCGGTTGAGCCGACCCATTCGTGCTACTAATATAGCTGCAGCACGACTCTATCACAAATTATTTTACGGCGTTATGATGCGGGGTATCCCACAGTAGTAATTTAATTTCATACGTACTGTCCGCGGCTTGTATGCAGCAGTAAGGTAACAAGTGTAGAGGCTCCGGGACAGGTGCAATTGTTGGCCAGTAATGCATACTTGAATTCGTCTTCACAAACAACAAACTCGGCAAACTTCACGTGTAGCTTATTTTCCGGTCTGAATATTTGGACGTATTGAGGTACGTCAGGTGCAAAATCCTTAACAGCCCACGATCTGTGAACGTGAATGTTAGAATAAGAATCAGCCATTGTAAACTTTTGTGTATTATGGTTTTTTTATGGGTCATAATAGACGAAGAGAAAGATACTCGGAGTTATTTTATATAACAGAACAAGTAATAAAAACATGCTTAGCAGAAATAGACCAACACCGATCCTTTGTAAGATGTAGTGGCAATTAGTCGAACGAATTACAACAATCGATGAAACATTCAACGAAAAATCAACAATCAATCAAGAATTATCTTCTCTCGTACCAGTATATAGCTCGTAAGTGGAGTTTAAATCGTCGTCAAAATAGTCGTCGATATATCGTGAATATATTATCATTGCAAAATTTGCAATTTATCGAGTTAATTTACCCAATGCTAGAATTTTCTGATGCTTTGTGACAATAGACACGATCATGATCGAGTCTTAATCGAATAATTCACATTGTTGTGTTTTAAGAGGGAGGAAAGTATAAGCTAAAAAGCTTTTTTTTTCCCAAACTTTACATTTGGTGGGAATATGATTCGTATGTAAAATGGGGAAACACGAACTTTCTGCGGTTGTTAAATATTTCTGCGTCAAAATGTTGTTCTACTAAAAGTTTTTATTCCGTAGTGGCGTGCTGGTGCGCTCAATTAAAACGCAACAGAACTGCCAATGACGACAATAACTCCGGGCGGGCGGCTAACGTCGACCTAAGCAAGAGACGTAAAAAAAGTACATCGACGTGTGATCGTTCGTCATTTAGCTTTCAATTACAATTCATACAATAATAATTGTACAATTCAGCTTATACCTTCAACTCATACCTTAAAATACAAAAAGGTGGCCGTGCGCTGGGTTCCTCGAATGTTGTTTTGTGAACAGACGCCCAAAAGAAAGCAAGAGATATTTCAAAGCTAAATTTAGCAATATAATAAGAAAATCCATATTTTTACTGCGCTCGTTTCGTGACGGTAGATAAAACGTGGGTACACCGTTTTGACCCGTAGACGAACAACCAAAGCAAGGTTTGCAAAAGACCGCCTTCCACGCCAGCCAAGAGGTTCTAGGTGCTGCTTCCGCTGGAACAATAGTGGCCTCTGTCTTCTGGTGTGCGGAAGGTGTTAATGATTGACTATTTAAGTAAAGGAGAAATAATACCAAGAGATAATTACGCATCATTAATTCAAAAACTACGCTAAGAACCAAATAACAAACGTCGAGGAAAATAGTGTGCTGGAGTGGTTTTCATCATGATAACGCCCCTGACCATCGATCCGATATTTTTTTGGCACTGCTATCCGAACTGCTGGGTTTCAGTTAATGCAGCACCCAGCAAATTCTACTGACCTAGCTCCGAGTGATTTTCATCTTTTTACTCACATGAAAATGCACTTGCGTGGTATAAAATTGACGGCAACTATGTGTGGTATAGAGGCTTTTTAGAGTCCTAAGATCAATCCTTTTTTTTCAATAGAATTAACCAACTTGTAAAACTATTATTTATTAAGGTAGTAAGGTAACTATAATCTATTAAAGTGTTTTAACTTAAAATGCGATTACGTTGAAAAATAATAACAAACCTACAGGTTAATTGCATTTCCAAAAACTTATTGATTAACCTAGTATTTCAAAAAAGGCATTTATAACAAATTTTGTCGCAATTCACAATGTTGTGTTAGTCCTTAAACGTATGGAAGTGAAAGTAGGATGTGGCATAAGAAGTACGAAAGTAGAACAAATGCTGTAAAATTGCGGCCAGTATATTAATTTATTTAATCTACCATTCTCAACTTCGTGATATACACTCAAGCCCACATCCTTTTCGTTTGATAGACTTGTCCTATATGTTAAAGCCGACTCTGAATGACATGGTGAGAAATGTGTGATAAGAGAAAAGTGTTGTTTGCGAGAAGATGTTGCGGTCGGTGATTTGGTCATGAAGAGAGAATGAAATGCGGACAGAGTGACAAAGCGAATTTATTTTGCAAAAGTGAATGGCAGAGTTGACAAACTGATGCCCCTGGCGAAAATTTATTGACCGAAGTATGATTGAAGGTGTGTCAAGTTAAGAATACTCTTAACCAACATGTATTCATGCGTAGGTGGTAGGCGAAGGACGTGAAGGAGGCGAAAGAGGGGTGTCAGGATCGTAAGAAATGGACCGTGTGACAGGCGTGAGTGTTTATGTTATCATGTTTCTTCTAGGGTATTATCAGATGGCGTTATAGTTAGGATCTGGCTATTAATAAGTAAAACAATAATTTTCATTTTTATTTGCAAGACATCGAAGTGAATTAAATAATGTGCAAAAAGCCAGCTAGGCGTACAACCTTTTGACATTTTATCTCTCTAAATAAATATGTTAGGTTTTAGCAAGTTGAACAATTTAGGTAAATGCTTGCCTCAGTATGGTGTGCTCGTCGGCAGCGGTTTTATCTGCGTAGTTTCGAGCCGCTAGTACAAAGCAGGCCTCAGCCTCGTTCATTCTGGCACGAATAAGATCCGTGTCCTTTAAGCATGAACCTTGGATGTAAATAACGCGTTGAGCCCATATCGGCACCTAGAAAAGATGAATGCCATTTATTTATATTGCAGGATTTTGACAGAATCAAGATTTCGACAGAAATCCTATCAGAACTGATCGAAATATGGATTTGTTTAAGATTACGATAAAATTAACATTTTCTATTAAAATAATTGAATTTAGATCAAATTCGTATTTTCATCAAACTCGTACAATATACTTATAGCTATGAGGTTCTTGTTGCGGTAGCACCAGTATTATTGAAGATATAGACTAAGCTAAATGGGGAACTAAGTGAACTGATGCACTCTGATAATGATTATATTATTAAATAAATTTATCAACTTTTGAACTAGATATACTAGATCTGATTGGAAAGTTATTGATGCTGGGTTCAAATTTAATGTCTGTCAATCTTTTGCACTACATCCGAATCTTCTTTCAAATCTGTGATATTTGTCGCATAAGTTACTTAAATTAAATTATGAAAACATAAATTGTTTGTGGCAAATTTGGGAACACTTTAATTTATATTGAAGACTTCACCGTGGCTGCCGAACAGAAGGACTTCATCAACATCATTATCAATTTTATAAGTAATATAAGTAAGTTCACCTGATAATACGGGGCCATTAGTTATATAGTATATAGTATATATATACGATATAGTCCTTATGGCAGAATCGCTGGAGGACTTAAGCACTATGCTCAATGACCTCAATTGTGCCTCCCAACGGATAGGTCTTAAGATGAACATGGACAAAACAAAGATCATGTTCAATGTCCATGTCACACCTATGCCGGTAGTTGTTGGGAGCACTATGCTCGAAGTTGTTGACGAATACGTTTACCTGGGACAAATAGTCCGACTGATCACTTCGACCGAGAGGTCAATCGACGGATTCAACTCGGCTGGGCAGCGTTCGGGAAATTACGGCATATCTTTTCGTCAGGTATACCTCAATCTCTAAAAACTAGATTGTACAACCAGTGCGTGTTGCCAGTGATGACTTACGGATCTGAGACGTGGTCCTTCACTGCTGGCCGTATGAGGACGCTTAAGGTCGCTCAGCGAGCTATGGAGAGGGCTATGCTCGGAGTTTCTCTGCGTGATAGACTCAGAAATGAGGATATCCGCAGTAAAACCAGAGTGACCGACATAGCCCAACGGATTAGTAAGCTGAAGTGGCAATGGGCCAGCCATATAGCTCGAAGAACCGATAACCGATGGGGAAGAAAGGTTCTCGAGTGGCAGCCTCGTACCGGTAGGCGTAGTGTAGGGCGACCCCCCACTAGATGGAGCGACGACCTGGTAAGACATGCAGGAAGTCGATGGATGCAGGTGGCTCAGGACCGTGCTTTGTGGCATTACTTGGGGGAGGCCTATGTTCAGCAGTGGACTTGTGAAGGGCTGTAATGATGATGATGATGATGATTAGTTATATGGATTCCTTCAAACTTCAAACAAACAATAAGACAGATGTATTACCACTGAGAACTGAGCAGCAATACCTTAATTGTCAGAGTACTAATACTTACTTACCAATACTGGTACTCTATTGCCTACACACGCAAAGCCACTCGATTTTAAGATGCCGTTAAGTCTCATGCTGTCTGTATCACGTTATGTAAAAGTGACTGTGACATCACGACACTTAAACCATGTTAAGCTTAAGTAGTGTTTAAGTATTTGGTCATATACACTTCAGACCGAAATAAAGTTGGCCAAGTATTGCTCCTTGACGGTATAAACGAGCAAGAGTACTCTTAGTACCATAGTAGCGTGACGCTAATGTAGAAGTAAATGTGAAAGTGTAAATGTAAATGTAAAAGTGACAGAACAAATCTCTGTTGCTGAAGTGAACTGCAGAGTCGGGAAGATACGACCTAGACGAAAGTTTATCATTATCATTACCTTAACCGACGAGCATGTATGCGTAGGTACATATATGAATTTAAAGGAGGTGAGAGAGGTGTGTCAAGATCGTATCAAATGGATGTCCGTAGTCTCGGTCCACATCTATGGGTGACAGGCGTGAGTGCTTATAGTTTATGCTATGCTAATGTAAATATATTAAATCTGTAATTTTTCTAATAATTATCCAACTTTCGAGATATTTGTATCCAAGCCGTACGTGCTGTACGACATTGCCACGACATGCCACGCTGAAATATTTGTGAGTCTTTATGAGACCCCAAGCTTTGTGAAGATACTGGTTCTAAGTTCTTTGAAAAACTTTAGGTACTACAGGTACCTATGGTTAACGCAAAACCAATCTGTGGTTTAAAGTTAAGGTACATATTAAGGCTCTTTGTTGCGTCGAAAAATCTTACCTGGGTGTGTAACGTATACGTATACGAGGCAGAAGAATTTACGACGGTAATACAACATTCAACATTACAAAGGAACAAAACGTCAGGATAATTACTTTCAGATATTTTTTTCTCATTACTTACTTGGAGGATCATACGCATAGTAGTATCAAGTTCCATCGGCGACAGCAGCACCACGTAATAATCTTGAAGCAGTGGATGAGCGTAAAACTCGTTTAGGAAATCCATGATAGTATCCGCGTGTAGAGTTGTAGAGCACACCACCACGTGCTTCTCAGATTGAGCTCGGTGAGAGGAGTACGATCCACCCAACTTCTGCCTCTCCATCCAAGTGAAGGCGAGTTGCTCGAACTATGTATCAGTAGATATTTATTTATTTATAGGTAGCAGGAAAATTAACAGTTTATAATTAACACTGTATGATACATATAGGCTGCATTAAAAGTATCGGGAATGGAATATTTCCACTGTTCATGTCATATTAAAATCTTATTAATTGAAAACTCCTTGGTTTTAAAAATCGAATACCATTTATTTATTTAAAAAAAGATTCTCGGTCTTGTCACAAGGTTTTGTCAAACTTGTGTTTTGTTGCTGCTGCTGCGAACCATGCAAACGAGGGTTAGGGCGTCCCCCCAAGGCGACGCACACCAGCTCGTCCCCGTTGGTGTGGAATGCAGCGCGCAAAGCGGCGATGGGGACCGCCACCCGTCACGCACAGCCCGACACGGCGGAAGGTGGAGGACGGAGTGCAGAGTTGGCACGTGGAATGTTAAAGGGGGCATGAGAGATAAGACGAATGAGTTGATCGAAATAATGAAACAAAGAGAATTAGATGTCGTGTGTATGTCGGAGACCAAACGGAAAGGCAGTGGTACTGAAGAGCTCCCTGGCGGGACGTTAGCTATATGGTCCGGACTCCCGGAAAGCGAGAACGCCTGCCAGGGAGTGGGAGTGCTGTTGTCGTCCCGGTTGGTCGATCTTATGACAGAATACAAGGTTGTGAACTCAAGACTTCTCTGGGTTCGCTTCAAAATGGGACTGACGAAGTTATTCCTTTTGGCTGTTTATGCGCCGGTAGCTTCGTCGTCCAGGGCTGAGCTGGAGGAGTTTTGGGAGAATGTAAGAGAAGTTCTAGATTTGGTTAAGGGAAACGAAAGAACTGTTGTATGTGGTGATTTGAATGGATGGGTAGGTATCGCTCGACCAGGATACGAGTCGGTGCTTGGAAAGTTTGGCGATAAAAGGGTTAATGATGCTGGCAAGCTTATACTGGCTGTATGCAAGGAAAAGGGGTCTTCTTGTGACAAACACTATGTTTAATCACAGGAAAATCCATATGTACACTAGAGAAAGAAAGAATGAGAGAAGTATGATTTTGTTCCTGGTGGATGACCGACTGCGAAAACAGGTGATGGATACACGAGTGTTCAGGGGTGCTGACCTGGGAACGGATCATTATCTAGTAATTACTAGATTTAGGGGTTTGTTCGCGGGTTGGCGCTACCGGACGGCAGTAACAGAACCACAGTCGGTCTGTCGCATCCGAAGCTGGAAGCTTCAGGAAGCGGATACTAGGGACAAATATCACACGAGGGTAGCCGAAAAGCTTGACACCATCTATGGCAGGAAAGAATGTGTAGAGAGAACATGGCAGAACCTTAGGGATAGAATGGTAAGTGCAGCGGAAGAAGTATGTGGTACGACAAAAAGAGGTAGTAGTAAAAGAAGAGATGCATGGTGGAATGATGAAGTGAGAGAAGCTGTAAAAAAAGAAGAAAAAAGCATGGTTAGACTACTTGGCCTCTAGTAACGATGAGCATATGAGAGAGAAGATGAAAGAAAGATATAAGGATGCGAAAACATTGATTGCGGATACGTGATAAGTGAAAGGTGTAGAATAGAAGCGGACGAGAGGTTGTCGCACAACTTTAGGGAAAACTCCAAACTCTTCTGGAAAGAGGTTGGAAGGTCCCGGAGTGGTGCGACAGCCTTAAGAATGAACAAAGTGCTTTCGAGAACCAATGACGTCCTCTCAGAAAAATCGGACGTCATGCAGCGATGGAGTGAATTTTATAGAGAAATGTATGCGTGTCATGATCTTAGTGAAGGATCCGGGGGTGACGCCGTGACTGGCACGCCAGACACGGGCCTCGATGACACTGAGGTCATCAGCATGAAAGAGATTGAACGTGCGATTCGAAGTTTGAAATGTGGTAAGGCTGCGGGACTAGACAGAGTTACTGCTAAAATGGTCAAGTACGGTGGGCCTCGCGTCTGGGACAGCTTCCATCTGCTGTGCAATTTGCGCTGGCGGACGGGAGATGTCCCGGATGATTGGCGATCCGCGGTCATTGTGCCTTTATATAAAGGTAAAGGTTCACATTTTGACTGCGGGTGCTACCGGGCAATCAGCTTGACCAGTTTAGCAAGTAAAGTTTACTCGAAGGTTTTGACACGTAGGATGCAAGAGAAATCGGAAAGATTCTTATGGGAGGCACAATGCGGATTTAGACCTGGAAGAGGATGCACGGATCAAATGTTTTCTCTCCGCATGATCACGGAGAAGCTTCTGAGTGTTAACCAGAAGATTTTCTGTGCTTTTGTGGATCTGGAGAAAGCATTTGATAAGGTTATTAGGAAGAAAATGTGGGAACTGTTGCCGGGATATGGTGTGGATGGTCGATTGTTAAGGGCTGTGCAGTCACTTTACTATGACTGTAAAGCCTGTGTGCGGGTAGGGCACCTGACCTGTCACCCATGTTTAGCGTCCAAGCGGGCGTAAAACAGGGTTGTGTCATGTCTTCCTGGCTGTTCATACTGTATCTCGACAGCTGTTTACAGAAGCTGAAAAATAGCTGTTTGGGTGTGAAATTGGGTGACATAAAAGTTAATTGTCTGCTGTATGCTGATGATGCAGTGCTTATTGCACCTTCAGAAGTAGAATTGCAGGCATTAGTCACGTGTATGAAAGAGGAATGTGAAATTAAAAGTCTCCGTTTGAATGCTAATAAAACTAAGGTTCTGGTATTTGAAAAGGACGAAGAGAGAACGAAATGTGAAATATGGGTAAATCAGGAATGTCTAGAACAGGTAAATGAAATTGTATACTTGGGGAGTGCTTTCAGCCGGGATGGAAGATGTGATTTAGATGTGGATAGGCGTGTCGCTGCCGGAAACAAAGTCAATGGTGCCCTGAATGCATTAGTAAAAAGGCAAGGCGTAGTGAAGAGTGCACGCCTTGCAATACATAATGCAGTGTTGGTACCGACTTTGTTATATGGCAGCGAAACCTGGGTATGCCAGAAGAAGCATAAAAGCAAGTTGAATGCAGTGGAGATGCGATCTCTTCGTAAAATGTGTGGCGTTACCTTAGCCGACCGAAAGCGAAACGAAGAGATTCGCAATATGGCAGGATTGAAAGATGACCTTATCACAAAAATTGATAGGGGCGTACTCAAATGGTTTAGGCACGTTGACCGCATGAGTGAAGACCGAATGGTGAAGAAAATATATAGAGCGAAAGTAAATATTAAAAGGTGTCGAGGTAGAACGAGACTAACTTTCGAAGACCATGTGAGCAAATTGCTCGAAGAGGGGAGGGTCAAGAGTACTCGGATACCTAGACGTGCATGTATGAAGAAGTAAAAGAACCTGAAAGAAGCGAAAGAGGTATGTAAGGATCGTGACACTTGGCGATCTGTTCTCTCTGGCTACCCCGTTAGGGATTGTGCGTGAAGATAAGTAAGTAAGTAAGTAAGTAAGTAAGTAAGTGTTTTGTTAAAATGACTAACATTGAGAAAATGGAATTGACTCGAGAAAATTCAAGAGCGATGATTTATTATGACTTTCGAAATGGTTTAACACAAAAACAGTGTGTTGACCGGATGATTTCTGCATTTGGTGATGAAGCCCCATCTAAAACCACAATTTATCACTGGTTTGCTGAATTTCAACGTGGACGTGTCAAGTGCAGTTATGATCCCCGTCAAGGTCGTCCAAAAACTGCAATCACCCAAGAAAACGTTGATGCTGTGCGTAAGCTGATTGTGACATACCGTGAAATTCAGGCAACTTTAGACATTGGCATAAATCAAATAGAAATAATCTTGCATGAACAATTAGTTGTAAAAAAGTTGTTTTCCCAAATGGATACCGCATTCGCTCTGTGAAGAGCAAAAAGCGACTCGCGTTACTTGGTGCGTCAGAACTCTCGAAAGATTCCACGCAAGATCCTCAAATGTTGTATACAACATCGTATCAGGTGGCGAATCCTGGATATACGCGTACGAACCCGAAACAAAAAACCTGTCACGAGTTTGGGTGTTCGAAAATGAGTTAAAGCCAACAAAAATTGTTCACTCACTGAGTGTTGCAAAAAAATGGTGGCCACGTTTGTCTCCAAAACTGGCCATGTTACGACTATTCCTCTTGAAGGACAAAGAACGGTTAATGCAGAATGGTATGCTAGCATTTGTTTGCCACAGGTCGTTTCTGAACTCCGTAAAGAGAACTGCAACCGCCGCATCATCCTCCATTACGACAATGCGAGTTCTCACACCGCACACAGAACTAAAGAGTTTTTAGAGCAAGAAAACATAGTATTATTAGACCATCTGCCGTACAGCCCCGATCTAAGCCCTAATGATTTCTATACTTTCCCTAAAATAAGGAATAAATTGCGTGGACACAGATTTTCATCACCTGAAGAAACTGTGGACGCCTACAAAACGGCCATTTTGGCGACCCCAATTTACGAATGGAATGGTTGCTTCAATGATTGGTTCCATTGTATGGAAAAATGTGTTAAATTTCGCGGAGAATACTTCGAAAAGCAATAAATACATTTTTAAATAGTAATGTTGTATCACTTCCTTTATTCCCGTAATTTTTAGTAAGTCACAAAGTAAGCCTCTTAATTTTCACAAATAGGTAATTGGTTTAGCTAAATACATACGAGTACGATATCTAATCGTTAATTGGGTAGGTTGGTTGGAATCCAAAGAAGAACTATATATACATTTTGCGGCAAAAATTTTCTAGAAAAATATAAACGAAAAATCATAATAAAAACAATTTTATTAAAAGGAGCAATTCCTACATTACTTGTACCAGTAAGTATAATATTGTTTTTTTTGTAATAGGATAAGGGTGACAAACGAGCACACAGTCCACCTGATGGTAAGTGGATGCTGTAGCCCATAGACATCTCCATTTAACCTCGATTAAGAATCAAAATGCAGATGTGATGTCACCCTGGAGGACTAAGATGGAATGCCTCGATTGCAGTAAAACGGGTCGCCGGTTCTCTACACTCACCATACGAAATACAGCAGCATTAAGCTGCTATTTTGCGCTGGTATTCTGTGAGAGCGTGGTCCTTCAAATATATATAAAAAATAATGTTTGTTTGTTTGTTCGCATTTTATGCGCTGCCATATCGTCCATCAGATTGTGGTAAAACTTTGTCAACTTATGTATATACAGCGGCGCGCGTATCGTATCGACAAATTTATTCGAAAGTTATATAAAAAATTCAATTTCAATTAATGTAGTATCATGTAATTAAATTATATAACTCTTACAAATTTCAAACGATGTTTCCACAATTATTTCTTCTGCGGCACTAAAGTGCCGGGTACCAGCCAGTATATCAATAATATAAGTTGCACGTCGACGAATTCAAATGTATACATATACCTACTTTTATACTTTTTTTAATAAGACTGAAGTGATAAACGAACCTACAGCCTACCTGATGGCTACTGCAGCCTATGTAGATCCGCAGCTAACTTCAAACGAAGAAGGCTACGGGTACGTTGTCACCTCTGCGGTCTCAGATGGGATGGCTCACAGCTGGTGAATGAACTGTACGAGCCTCTCAGACCGGAGCACAGCAATGCGTACACTAGTGCTTGATAGCAGAAATAGAAAAAAATTCTACGACCTAGATAAATGACCCACATAACAAAATTGATGGGGGATTGGGGGAGTACTCTTTATTCATCTGCATTTGCAGTAAATTTCACAGCATACAATCAATGCGATTCAACCCTCGCTGGCACCAATGAAGTTAATAATTGCAATTTTAAGTTCTGATTTACAACGTGCAAAGGAAAACATAGTGAGGAATTCTGCATATCTGTAAAGTCAGTCGATGGATGCAGGTGGCTCAGGACCGTGCTTTGTGGCGTTACTTGGGGGAGGCCTATGTTCAGCAGTGGACTTGTGAAGGGCTGTAATGATGATGATGATGATGTAAAGTCAGACCCCGCCCCCATTAATATGATTAAAACAATTTGATGTTAAAAAGTTTTTTAATTCAGTAGTATTGTTTGAAAAAATGAAGTTCGCCAGCGCGGACATTTCCTTTCTCTAACATCCTAACAGTAATAAGCGACAATCAGCTGTAGGACACGCATGTTACGAATATATTATAACCATAGTTTTTACTTTACTTAATACTTATTTGTGAGCGTTAGAATTACAACAAATGAGCAAGCTGTCTACGAAATAATGGTCTCCGTCGCGTAGTCTATAAATACACTGTATTTTTCAATGCCAGAAATAATTGCACTGTTACAGATCTAACGGACTCATAGGATAAACGAACTTTACCGCTTATAGACGAGAGACAATAATTGTATTCATGAATTTTTTTTTAAATTTGCCTGCAAAGACTAAGATGTAATCTGAGGGGGAGGATTATGTTCAGTAGTGGACTTAAGTAGGCTGTGCCGGTGTGATATATGAATTTAAAATAAAAATCATCGAAGATAATTGATGTTATGAGTTACGAACTCAATATTAATATCTTAGAACTTTACGAGTTACTTTAGCGAATATCAACACAGTACTTGATTATAATTTAAGTTCCTATTAGTTTCGATATTAATATTAAGTGTTGAGCAATCACGTTTAACCGACGCCTTGTAGCGTAATTGATTCCTTATTAGCACTTAATTTTAATGGAGATTGGGACGTAAGTTAATAAGTTTATAATATTTTTATAAATTAAGACTAGTTTTTTCAGATCAGACACGGAGTTTGATCAAATCATAATATTTGTTCAAATATGCGGTTTGTTTCTTTAAAAGTGAAATGAGGGACGTAAGCTTCAATCATTGACCACTTCCAAGATTCGTTTTTAAGTTATTTTTTATTTTTTTGTGTTGTCAAGCCGGTATTTACCCGATTGCCTCAGAGGGATGAATAGGGTTTTAACCATTAAGCTTGTTACTTTAGGTCGGCGTTTAAACTATGTACGCATGGCCTATGATTGCTCGCGAATTTTTTTACTTAATGTAGGTACCGACAGGATAACAGTGCAGCGGTAACTACGCTGTGAGCTGATGCTGAGTTGATGACCGTTTCCTTGCTGACGTTCAATTTTAATATCCTTTTATTTTTGTGTTGAATTTATTGTGACGCATTATGTTGTAACTACGCTTTTATTATTTCTTTCAATATTTTATCGTTGTGACCAAAATTAATATGAGAATGTAATATGTTATAATTAGACAGGTACCAACCTGCGTAGGCAGCACAACGAGAGCAACCCCAATCATGATGACCATGTAGAGCTGTGATGGCCAAATGTCAGGCACGAAGTCTCCGTATCCAACCGTTGAAAACGTTACCACAACGAAGTAGGTGGCTTGGAACAGATTGAGATGACGGTGGCCGGCACGTTGGAAATGTTGTATGCCGCAAACACTGAAATCGAAATGTTAACTGTTATATTTAAATGGTTCTTTGATTGTGATAGTAACAGTATGAAGTATATATTATTAGGAACCTTTTCTGTCTAGAAACAATCGCCATCATCGCCATTATGTAATTTATATTCAACGTTATTGTTATTTACGTTTTGTTTAACACTAGCGCTGCGCCAAGCGCATAATTAACAATGCATTTTTGGTACATTTTAAAAGATATTGACGCGTTTCTCACACACACACACACACACACACACACACACACACACACACACACACACACACACACACACACACACACACAACACACACACACACACACACACACGCACACACACACACACACACACACACACACACACACACACCCACACACACACATATATATATATATATATATATATATATATATATATATCAGTTAAACCCCTACTTGGTATTGATAGTGTTAGATACTTTGGTGTTTTATCACGTTAATCACTGTTGTAACTTCGCCTTTCTATTTACTAGTGAGGAAATTTATTTGATTCACTGTAGTTGTGAGTTATCTATCTTACTAGTATAGCTCTTTCAAATAAAATAACAATGAAATAAGTTATAATATTATTAACATGACTTGTATTAACACTCCAAGTAATGGCGAATGGCGAATTACAGGCTTGTTAGTGTTTTCAAATAACTGAACTGAATTGTTAAGTTTAGAATCAATATCTAGATCCATGCAGTATCACGTCTTTCTTATCGCGTAATATTCTATCTATTCAGCTATTCGACCGCTACTTATTCAGTCTCTAAATGTATTGTGATTTCAGCGTTACCTTTATAACGATTTTTTACTTACTCAATTTAACTGATTTTTGTAATGCACCGTCTTTTATTTATTTTATTTTTTTTATAGAGGAGGGGGCAAACAAGCATGCGGCTCACCTGATGTTAAGTGACTACCGCCGCCCATGATCAACCGCAACACGAAGAGAATTGCAGGTGCGTTGCCGACCCTTTAGAAAGGAGTAAGCTCTTTTCTTGAAGGTCCCCAGGTCGTATCGGTCCGGAAAAAACGCTGGTGGTAAACTATTCCACAGAGAGGTTGTACCCGGAAGAAAACTCCTCTTGAAACGTACAGTGGTGGACCGCCAAGCATCCAGATGGTGTGGATGGTATGGGGCGTTTGCCGCGTAGTGCGTTCACGAAATTTGACGGCTGGGATTAATCCGAACAATTCCTCAGAGCACTATCCATAGTATATGCGAAAGAAAATGCAAATAGATGCAACATCTCTTCGCAGTTCCAGTAAATGGAGCCGATCGGAAAGCACTCGGTCGTCGACGATTCGAGCCGCTCTGCGCTGGATGCGGTCAAGTGGAAGGAGCTGGTACTGGGGAGCCCCAGCCCGGAGATGGGAACAGTATTCCATGTGCGGCCGAACCTGCGCCTTGTAAAGTTGCAGGCGGTGTGCCGGCATGAAATACTATCCCGCTCTGCTGAGCACGCCAAGCGTCTTCTGAATTTATTAGTTTAAACATGGTAGAGCCATGCTGCAGTTATATTAATAGTATAGTTGTAGCACGAATGGGTCGGCTCGACCGGGGAAGGATTACGCTCTCACAGAATACCAGCGTCAAATAGTAGCTTAATTCTGCCGTGTTTCGTATGGTGAGTGTAGAGAACCGGAGACCCTTTCTATTGGAAACGAGGCATTCCATCTAAGTCCTCACGGTTGACAACTTATCTGCGTTTTGATTTGTAATCGAGGATAGATGTAGATGTTTGTAGGCTACAGCAACCACTTACCATCAGGTTGACTGCATGCTCGTTTGCACCCTCATTCTAAAAGAAATTTCTGATTTGTAGCTATTAAAATTAAAAATCTCTTTTTTTCGCTCCAGTAATAGTTAAAATTAAATACATTGTTGTAACACTCCCTTTAAGTTAGGAAACTTGTGTTAGGAGGCTCCACTCTTCCCGTCTTTCATTTATATTAATTAGTGTTTAGAACTAGGGTTTAGAATTAGCTATAAGTAGGACGTGTAGCGCTGAAAGTCATACTAGTGTAAAGAATTATCATTTCATACTATTTTGTCATACGAGTGTCATAATACTATTAGTACTACTAAGGTTAACTAATTTACTAATTATAAAATTCAGATTTTCGTTAGTACAATTAATTCGAAAATCCAAATAAAAACCAGCGTCATTTCGTAGTTTTAAATTTTCACTTCTGTCGGCAGTCATCAATGACCGCCATTTTTTCTTTGCAAGCAAAGTTTATTTTTATAGCAATAATAAAAAGATTCACGTGTAACAAATTATATCTCACTGCTTTTTAAAATGTGTTTACTAAGTTTAGAGCAACCGCAAGGCCTATTACCACGATAACAAGCTTTTAGCAAGTAATTTAAATGGGACGCGAATGTTACGTAATATTTACTATAAAAGCCTTGTTTTATTTAAAAAGTATTAAAAGCCGATGTCGTCACGAACATTGATAAAAGGTATAATTTGTTCATACCTTTTATCAATGTTCGTGAAGGGATAGAATGTTAAAAGGCGAGAGAAATTGGGTAAAGTGAATAAAATATTATAATTCCTTATTTATTTACTGTTGAATATGCCATTTATGAAGACGGGGTTCTGTGTCGTTTTGTTTTACTTTGTATCGTACATTTCTATTAAGCGGAATAATTTGTTAAAAAGTGTCATCATCATTATCATTTAAACTCCACATCTGAGCCTGGACTTCCCTCAAGCAATGCTGTACAACGTGGTCCTGAGCCACCTGAGATCGCTCCACATTTAACACCCTACTCCTCCCACCCACGTGAATTCAGGTTAAAAAATGTGCGTAAACAATATTTGTTTCGGAGGTAACATTTTCGCTCTGCTACGTTAAAATGCTGTTTTAGATACGCATTTCCCGCGCGGGTACGTCTGTGAATTGTAAATGAAAAGCTAATGTAATTTTATGTATTTTAACTGGTATAACGTTGCAAAATTTTACGCTATATTTTGCTAAGTAATTCGTAGGGTTTTTAAATACGAGGGAATAATATTTTATGTTTGCAAGTAAATTAATTTTGAATGTAATAATAATAATTCATAGTATTAAAATTATCTGAAGTTGTGAAGGAAACGTATAAATTTTACAAAAATAGTTTTTAAAAATAATTTTTGTCATTGTTTACGTACTGAAATTAAATTTGCAAACTTTACATTTTAGACGATATATACCCACAAGATTTTTAAACCAATAATACGTATTAATAAATATTTTTTCGCAGACACAATAAGAAGTATTAAGTTTTATTCAAATACTCAGTTTCTAGACGGCAAATTACACTTAGTGCTGACTTTTCTATCAGCAGATTCATCCATCAAGTTCAATAAAATGTTCATCTATCAAAAAATTATAACCCAGTTGAATATAACAGTGAAATAATTAAAGTCCTTTATTCATAAAATTGTAATTTTTAATTTATTTCTGTTGTGTTTTACTTTTATCCTATGAATAAATTTTATTGAAGGATTGGAAAATCGGATTATTTTTTCCGTTGTCATTCTAATGACATATCTTAATTGCCTGAATAATAAATGTGTGATGACGGTGTATATTGTGTGAGCCCCATGTTGTCAACAAATGCCGTGAAATTCGACAAAGCGGTTTGAGAGATAAGCTAGAGGTTTCCAACTGTTAATAAAATTGATGTTATTAATATGTTTCATAATTCAGAACATACCGACCCAAGATTATATTTTAATAAAATAGATAATTTTGAATGATTGTAAGACGGCCTACAACTAGATGGTGTGACGACCTGAATAGAATAGAATAATTTTTTATTTAATATAGATTACATGTAATTCATATTGAAAGTCATTTTTTACTTTACCACTGGTTCGAAAAAAAACCTCTGTCCTGGGAAGAACCAGCAAGAAAGCTAACCGGACTCTTTTTAAATAATTTTTACAATGTGAATGGTTACAAAATTATTTATATTTAATATTCCATTCATCCTGGTAAGACATGCAGAAAGTCGATGGATGCAGGTGGCTCTGGACCGTTTTCGTAGCATTCCTTGAGGGAGGCCTGTGTTAGGCAATGGATTTTGAATTATTGTAATGATGATCATCAACAATGACGAAAATAGATAAAGTAAAAGATACCGAGCCATGATGGTAGATGTTTTGGTGGGGATGAAAGAACACCCACTGTCCCATATCGTTCCGTGAGTGTCGTAATAGGCGACGAAGGAAACAAATTTACGTGGTAGAGCCACGCCGCAGCTATATTATAGTTGTAGCACCACGCTTTCACAGAATACCACCATAAAGTAGCAGTGTAATGCCGCTGTGTTTCATAAGGTGAGTGTAGGGAACTGGAGACCCTTTTTACTGAAATCGTGGCATTTCATCTTAGTTCTCAGGGGTAATAACGCACTTGCTGATCCTTTGTTAAGAATAAATGTGGATGTCTATGGACCACAGCATCCACTTACCTTATCAGGTGGACTGTGTGCTCGTTTGTCACACAATGCTTTAAGAAATTAGGAGACGAGTAGCAGTGTCTTCATAAAAACTAGAAAATAAAAAAAATCTGCGGTTGCCAATCCGCTTGCTAAGCGTGGTGGCTTTGAAAGATTGTAAAGAACGAATGAATGTATGTATATTCCATACGCTCGATAGTGGATTGTTGAAATTGTGACTGTGTGTTGTTAACGTAAGAATCCATCACCCCATTTAGTCCCGTTAGTACCGTAAGAGAACTATGGGATATAGCTATCTCAAGATCAGCTAAGTTGATACAACTAAGACAAATTGCTCCTTCAAAAGGATAGTCCCATGTTTAAATAAATTATGTTTAAATAATGTTTAATTATGATCTTCTTCAGCAATAGACGAATATGGGTCGATAAAGGAGAAGAAAAATAAAAAAGCAGAAGAAGAAAAAGAATAGCAGAAAGAGATTCATAACTAATTACCTGGTAAAGACGAGACACAAAAGTGTGACGCACAAAATCATTAGTTGCTGGGAGAGCGCCGACTGCGACTTTTGCATTGCCCGATGCAGATCGTTCTATAGAGAAATAAGCATTTACTGTTAGCACTGATACGAGTACATTAAGTGGTAAAGCAAGAAATTCAATAGTTTACTCACAAACATATTCTCAAGGGACCGCTTGGCCAACCAACAGTTGAGAAAGACCGGGATGAACAAGTTTCGAAGTGGTGGAAATGGTATCTGTAATACATAATTTATTTCTAATTAAACCTTGAACTTCACATAAAAAATAAACGAAAAATGACTTCGAAAACTAAAAAGTATATAATGATTTCCACATTATAGCTTCTAAATTCGATACTAAAACATAGTGTATCCGGGAATCAAAGCTCGAGGCTTTAATTCCTGGATATTCCATAAGCTATTAGGCGGAAATTATTATATTCTCTTAAGTTTTCGAATTCGGTTTTAGTTTATTTTAGAAATATTAGTGACATTAAAATATTCGTCCACTATTATTCAACAATTAAGAACGCAATTTTAGTTGAAAATTTATAGGCGTGGCCTAAAGAACAACCTATTTAATAAAAAATTATTAAAATCGGTAAATATACCAAGAAGTTATTCAATATGACATTCAAATGCCGTAAAAACGTTATTAATAAACTCAACCATAAAATGCAAATCTCGTAAACTCGATTCTGTTTAGAATAAGATATATAGTAACATAGAACCATGGAAAATTATATACCGTCAATATATAAAAATGTGTCAATTTAAAATTAAAGTTTTTTATGTAAACATTTAGAGATCCGCCCTGGCTTGGCACGGGTGATTTCTGGATCCTACCGGGTTAATTTATGAATCTAAACCGTTCAGGAACTTACTCAAACTAACAAAAATTTTATGCAAATCCATCCGCCAATACCACAGAAATTTTTAAGTACAATTTTAAGTGCTGATTCAACACGTGCTCGGTGGTGAAGGAATAAACCACATGACTCAGAAACACCAAAAAAAGCGATGACATGTGAAGTTGGGGCAGCGCAGTGCGGTGGACCTGTCCTTGCTCTAAAACCCTCTCAGAAATGAGAGGAGTCCTGTACCCCCCCCTGTCCAGTCCTTTGGGAGAAGTTCAGTGACAAGTTTTGTAATAGTTACAGCCAGACTGGCTTGGTAATAGAGTTGAAAACATGAACTTGAATTTGGCGATTCCGTGGCGCAGTGGCTCAGCAATGACTTACAGCGCTAAGAGCCGCGGGTTCGAATCCCGCACGGAACAAGTATTTGTATGGTCTACAAATAATTGTTCCGGGTTTGGATGTTTGTGCTTGTGTAATTTATGTTTGTAAACTGCCCCCACGATATAGGAGAAAATCCTAGTGTGGAGGTAACGTTTTAAAAAAAATTGCTTACGTATATTCGTCAAAGACCTCTATCTATAGATATATGTATACTTATTTGATTTTAATTAAAATATGGGTACTTACAGTTAGTGCGAACGGGATCGTATTCACCATTTCCAGTATGAAGTGGAAAGATAGCACTTGTTGCCAGATGTTACCCTTAAATACAAATAAATATATAAATTTCTAAAAAAAATATTATTTAAACTTATTATACCATAACTTCTGAATGTATTTATTAAAATATCTAATTTGTTTTTAATTTACCTAACTGTGTTATAAGTAAGTAACTCAAATGCAAATTAACTTTCAAAATCCAACGACATTTCAAAAGGCCTAATAATTTTATTTTTGAGAAAAAAGATTATATCTAAATTGTACCTCAGGCAATCAACTCGTCGTTTCTTATTATTAAACTCATTTTTACATTTCCTTTTAGATATGATACCGAAGTTAACATTCTTGAGTTTGAATATAGAATGTTAAGAAATTATTTTTATAAATGTACGAAATTAAGCTTTCAGCATCCATCACTGTAGACTGTCTGCACCTCTAATACGTAAAATTTGGTAAGATCTCAAATCAACTCACCTTATAGCCTAAGTAGGCCAACAGTATAGCTTCGGTGAAAGATATCATTGATAAGATGACCTGGACGATCCACAAGTAGAGTGGGCGATTTACCCAAATGATGCCATCCCAGTTGATGATCGGATGTTCTTGAAACTCTTCCTCCGTCAAGTTGGCAGAATACTCGAATTCAGTCTTGTTCCCAGGCTTGCAACCGAAACTAAAACAAGATTTAATGATTAAATATATTATTAGTTAAAAACTAGTTAACGTAAAATGTTAAAGTAAACTATTATTAGTTTCAAACTAGGTGATGTGTCTTACGTAGTTTGAAGATTTAATGATTTCTTATATTTACGCGAACACTATACATTTAAATAGAACTAGTTTTTATAGATTTTATCAGTATATTTACTTTTATATATTCCCGACGTTTCGAGCACTGAAGTGGTTAACGTACAGCTGTCATAGTTAACCGTGGTTACTCACATATTAAAATTATCAATATTTGTTCCAATCTACACAGTATGAACTTATAGTATCTTCGAGTTTTGTAGTTGTATGCTTGGGTTGGGATTTAATTTTATTAATTATAGGATCCCAAGCAGACGGTAGCGCCCAGCCGTCTTCTTTATTGAAATTAGGATGTTTTTTTAATTTCAATAGCCTCGCGTATCATTCTTGGTAGGAATAGGTGTTCTTTAGCAAGGATTTGTGGTCTATCAAATCTGGTGTAATGACGGAGGTGATCCACAGAACAGAACAGGAAGTCTGCTGTCTGTATAAATAAGTTAATATACGCGATCAAATCAGTAAAGACTAGTTTTATTCAAAACAAGTTTTGATTGGTTCCATTCTCGCACAAAGGCTAAGTATATTCACTCAACAAGTATTAATATTAATCAATGTTTACGTAGCTAGTTTTCTTGGTATTATACCGCGGGGAAGAGAACTGTAAAATAATTTTAGTTTTAAGTTTTGTTTTTATATAAATGAGCGCGAGCACGGCAGCAAACGCTATTTCTTACTCTCATAATACAACGGGACTGCAAACCGACACGACCGGTGGGAGATCAGGTATGGGACCAACGGCATAAAGTTCTTTCCGAGGCTCGGGGCTGAAACACTGCCGACTTTTTTATAAAATAACGGTAACCAACGAGCACACAGTCCGCCTGACGGTAAATGGATGCTGTGGCACATAGACATCTATATTTACCCTCGATTAAGAATAAAAATACAAATGCGTTGTCACCCTGGAGGACTAAGATGGAATGCCTCGAATTCAGTAAAACAGGTCTCCGGTTCTCTACTCACCATGCAAAACACGGTTGCATTAAGCTGCTAGTTTTTGTAACTTCTTAAGTTTTAATAAAGATTATTATTATTACAGGTGGCAGCTCTACCACGTATGACTGCGGGCTGCTACTGAGAATTTCTTGACAAGAAAACCTGTTAGCTGATTTTGGTCCAACCCGGGATTCGTCCCGGCATGACATTATCAGCTACTACTACAGCAACTAGACCAATGAGGTAGCCAAAATATACGTGAAGTACTTTAAAATTTTTGTATTGTAGTTGTTCGATTGTTTGCGTGAAAATTGGACCACAAAAGATCGTACATTACATAATTTTCAAATCATGGATGTACTTTAATTTTCTAACAATAGAACTTATCTTTTATGTAATGTACATAGTTTAAGTATTTTTTAATAAAAACAATTGAATTGCACGGACCACTAAAATATTTTTATAAACAATTAATTATAATTACGCGAACTACACATTAAATTAACTATCGCAATGCATTCGAAACATTTGAAAAAAATAAACTCGATTAAATCCGTAAAAGTAGTTATACCATTTTCCATTATTTTAATAATATAAGAAAATAACAATTTCTAATTATAATAACGCGCGGTTTGTTATCTATATGTGTTTTATCGGGGAGAATGTAGCGGCTATTTTCTTGGAAGGATTTTGTTTTCTGTCGTAAACTTCGCGTAAATTATTTGATTTTAAGTAAACCATACAAGCTCAAGGTCGCTCAGCGAGCTATGGACAGGTTCATGCTCAGGGTTTTTCAGCGTGATAAACTTAGAAAACTCATTTCTTTCCGAAGTAGAACCATAGTAACCGATTACTAAGGTGAAGTGACAATGGGCCGGCCATGTAGCTCGAAGAACCAACAACCAATAATTAAGAAAAGATTCTCGAGTCGCAGCCTCGTGCCGGTAAACGAAGTGTGGGGCGGCCAACCCACTAGATGGAGTCACGACCTGGCAAGACGTGCAGGTTTTGATGGATGCAGGTGACTCAGAACCGTGCTTTATGACATTCTTTGGAAGAAGACCTATGTTCAGCAGTGGTTTGTGGTGGGCTGTGATGACTGTGATGATGAAACATACAAGTAATTGTAATGAAAGTGTACCGTAGGTTTGAGATGAGTTGCAGAACTTGACAATGAATTTTTGTAAAACACAATTTGTTGGTTTGTCATATCCAGGTGCATGTACCACTATCATCTTCATCATTATCGTAATCATTCACCCCTTCATCAACCCTTCACAAGTTCACTGCTGAATAAAGGCGGGAGGCCAAGGAATGCCACAAAGCACGGTCCTTATCGACCTGCATTCATCGATTTCCTGCATCTCTTACCAGGTCGTCATTTCATCAGGTGGGCATCTTTCTTTATCTCCATCCACTGTTGGATATATACCTCCCGTTGTAAAAGGATTTGCTTTCGGCGTCGCTCTTGGCAAGCGAATCTACGATCGCAATACCAAGCGTGAGCACCATTTTTTTAAAATTAATCATTTATCGAGATAAACATTCTCACGATTATTTTGTTTGACACACATTTCCTACGTGCTAGAGCCACGCTGCTGCTATATTACGGTTGTACGGTGGACCGCGGAAGGACAACGCTGTCATAGAATACCAGTGTAAAATAGCAGCTTAATACTACTGTATTTCGTATGGTGAGTGTAGAGATCCGGAGATATTTTTTTTCTGTAATCGAGGCATTCCATCTTAGTCCTCAGGGGCGACAACACATCTGCATTTTGATTCTCAATCGAGGATAAATATAGATGTCTATGGGCCACAGCATCCACTTTTACCACCAGGTGGAGCGTGTGCTCGATTATCACCCTAATTCTATAAAAAATGAGGCAATCTATAGGGAGGTCGATGTTTAGGCGTAGACGATGATAGGTTTTATTTATATATTAAGCATTTCGTAGAGAGGTAGCGCTATCGTAATCTAATCTAATGAAGTAGAAATCATTGACGCTGTTCTTATTTACCTTTATTATACTACCATTTATTGAAGGCCATAAAATAATTTCAACATTTACCAAGTCTTACAATACCAGGCGACTACGGGATAAAACAGAGTGATAAATTCACTTACTCGTACTTCACCATACTGTAAGTCTAATTAAACTGATTACATATATATAAAAAAAGATTTCTCACCAAGATGCGGAGATAGGATCGCCATCAGCACAAACGCGAAAGATGTACAAGACGCAGGCCAGGAGCTTGAATACTAAGTTTGCGATTCTTATGCGCAGGCCTGAAACAAGAGTTAGATAATTTAATATTAAAACACATAATTAAACACTAATATTATATAAAGTAGTTTTTTTTTTAATATCAGTTATTCACATAACATTGAAATGCATACAATATTAACAAAACTACAATTAAAAAAAAACAAAACTAAAAACTTAAATTATCATAAATTCCTACTCCTAGCACTATAGTGTCAAGACCGCTTGCTGCGTTTCCTCGTTGAATGGCTGTACTTATTGTTTGTGCGAGAAAAGAACCTGCCATCTTATCTCCAGCGGTGATGACCAGTTACGGATACAGTTCCTTTAGGAACTTCACCGCTAGTGGATCACACGGACCGATAGTCTCTACAGTAAATAGCAAAAATCAATAGTATCTTTTTTTAAATTTATTAATGAATTTATAATACAGCGGTGTTACTTAATTCTAAACTCGCCTAACTTTTACGTTTAATGGCGAGAGGCGCTCTTTTACATAGCAATGAAACACCTTATGTACTCCTAATATTGGACACAATAGTACACAGTTATATATAAACCTATGATGTCTTGTTGTTATGTTAATTTTATAACCTTATATATATTTAACTTTAATTATATAAATTATAATAATTAAAGTAATAATAATAGTCATATATTATGTTGTTATGGTTTAATCTACTAGAATGAACCGTATTTAGTTCTATTTGCCATCCTGTATAATGTTTTTTAATTTTCTCTTAAGTGATCTTTTACTAATTTTAACTTTTTCTCTAAATAGATCTATTTTGTTAAACACTTTAGCTACCAAATACTTAGATGTTCCCTTACCATAATAGTTTATTATTTTTGGTTGAATCAGTTTGTTCTCTCTAACCCTATGTGTGTTGTACTTGTTTTAACATTAACTTTATATTCCTCATTATAATAATATTCCAGACTTACCATATAATCTATTTTGTTATCTATGGGAATAATTTTAAAAATGAGAAACAAGTTATCACTGTCTTTGTTGCAATTATCTCTAACATTTTTACTAACTAGAAACTTAATCAGTCTTATTTGTGTCTTTGATATTTTTTTAAATATGTAATTAATATTCGCCCGTATACAAGAACCATAACTCATTAGCGAGTCGGTAAGTGCAAAGTATACTATTCTTAACGTATGTGTGTTTAATACATTTTTTAAATGGTAAAACTTACTTAGCACTAATCTTAGCCTATTGCAAATGTCATTTACGTGTATTCTACTGTTAAAATTCTTATCTATTGTTAGACATAAATATTATATAATTTATCCCCATATTCCAATCTCTTACAGTTAAAATTAAATTAATTTTTAAAAGACATAAGTGGATGAAGGTGGTATGTCATTATAAAATGATTTTAGACCCTAAAACTATCGTTTTAAGACGTATTTCAAAAATAGAAAGTTGATAAAGGTGTTATGTTCAGTTTAGTTTGAAAATGGTACGGGATGAAAGAGGTATGAGCCCATATATATACTACCTTCTTGATAAATAAAGTAAAAGTTTTGTTTTTTTTTGTCTTGGAAGAAAGTGACATGTACGAACATAACACTCACTCTCTTCCACTCAGCCAACGATAGTCGAATGACACGACATCACTTCTCCGTGACTGAAGGTGTTAACATACATAGCACCTTCATTCGTTCAGGTCAGTCAATTGTTTTGATTTTCGTTTTGTCATTAAAATTATCACATTCTCGCGGGCTTTCTAACAGAGTGCGTATTGTAGGGTGTGTTGTGTACAAAAATATTATTTATAATATTGAATTTACGTTGGCAAAGTGGAAAAGTAATGGCAAGAGGCAAAGCAAGGGCAAAATTATTACTGGAAGCTGCTGTCGATCATCCTGTAATAGCAGATCGCGGAAGTGTTGAACTTGGAAGGGCACTTCTAAGATTTTTGGAGGTAGATCCAAGTTGTCAAAAACAAAGATCATTTATTGATCTGGTCGGATTCATGTACTGAACAGAACAAAAACTGTAACATGATTGTATTGCGTCAATACCTTATATTAAAAGGATATTTTAAAGTAATAGACCACAAATTCCCTGAGGTTGGCCATTCTTATTAAGACTCGGATTGTGATTTCGGTAGGATAGGAAAAAACATAAACATAAACACTCACGCCTGTCACCCAGAGAGGTAGGATGAGACTACAGACTTCCATTTGGCCCAATCCTGACACAACTCTCTCGCCTCCTCCACATCCATATACCTACGCATGCATGCTCGTCGGTTAAGGGTACTCCTCATTTGGCCTGTTTCCAATATATCGCCAATTTGGTCGATAAACTTTCGCCTATGACGTCCCTTTCCGACTCTTCCGTTTACTTCTGCAACATGAATTTTCTGTGTCACTCTTTCCTCATTCATTCTTTCCACATGATCAAACCACTGAAACATTCCTTTCTCAATTCCTGGTCACAATATCATCTTGCAAACCACACTTTTCTCGTATCACACAATTTCTCACCCTGTCATTCAGGTTCAGATGTAACATATTCCTTAACGACCGAATTTCTACTGCATTTATTCTACTCTCGTGCTTCTTCTGCCACACCCAACTTTCACTACCATACGTTAAAGTAGGGACCAACACAGCATTGTGAATTGCCATACGTGCCTTTTTGACATATTCTGACTCTAAAAAATAGAGTGTAGGGCTCCATTTACTCTATTTCCTGCGTTCACTCGTCGTTCTATTTCCTTATCATATCTCCCATCCCTGCTAAATACGTATAACAAATATACAAACTCATCTACTTACTCGATCAACTGATAGAAACGATAGAAAAAGTCCTTAGGAAACACGATACAGTTTTTGTTCTTGAACAATATATGAATATTATATGTAAAGCTTCCCGAAATAATAGAGTCATTGATATGAGCCCGCATTTCAGAAAAATTGCTGAGTTACAGGAAAAACTTAATTTGTTTAACAGAAAAAAAGATGTAAATATTGACAAAGTAAGTTTAAGGGATGGTATTAAATGTATACGCGTAGATGAATATGGCTCCTACCTATATAAAGAAACATACGATGAAATGACACCCTTCGAAAAGTTGGACATTTTAAAAAGAAGATCACAGTTGCGCTATTCTGTGGAGATTCCGTGTACGATCGGAAAATATGGTACCATATCAGTGGAAAAAAAAGAAAATTTCCGAGACCAACTTAAGTACGTAAAGCCGGAATATCGGTACTTCTATGAGTCGATTTTAATTGAAAAATAGTATCATTTTGATCTGTTTTATTTTATTGTCAAGACTGATCTCTGTTTTATTAGCTTACGTTTCTATTTATAAAGTTTTAAGGAATATTTAAGTAATTTTTACCTTTTCGTAATACTTTAACTACATAATGTTACTTAACACCTAATTTGAAATAGCTAAAATGCCAAAATCTTTTTAAAATGTTAGTGAAAGAAAGAGTTATGTTCAGTTTTTTTTCGAAATTATATACCACAAAGTATTAAAAGTGTTTAATTGCTCACGTACACTAATTTTTTTAAGTTTGTTTACCCAACTTTGCATTATAGTTTAAATCAAAAACCAATTTTCTAACAACTTATTTCAAAAAACAATAGTGAAACTTCAATCTTGATTTACTCAAAACTAGTAGAATGCGAGTTATCACCCTCATCCACTCACGTCTTCATTTATTTCTATGCATACATTCGTATGTATGTCCTAGATAATCATATTTTACAGATTTAGCATTTCGATTATATGGCGAGTGTATATGCATACATTTAGTTTTTGCAAGATTTAATATAATGTCGTGTGCCCATTTGCTAACGTTTTCAAAATCACCTTGTATACACTTTTGTACCTCAGCTATGTCTTTGGAGGCACAGACAAGACATATCATCAGCGTACAAGGACAATTATGTACGACATTGGACACACTATTCACATGCATTATATATCCTGCAGGACCGTACAGCGATCCGGTAGGCACTCTCAATATATATATATATTTGGAAAAGAAAAGGACGACACGCCGGTAGTGTATATATCCACACGTATGTACGAACGTACGAACCATTTGGGACTAGTTTCGTACCCCTTATAAGTCACAAACTTTTAGACCTTATTTAATTTTGTTGAGGCACGAATTGAATATTTAGGATCCAATTTCATGAATTTACCTATTAGTATATAGTTCTTGAGTTCTAGGTGCTAAATCACTTATAGTTGAATTAGAAACTTAAATTTCGACAGCGAGGTACGAAGATAACATTAGGCGTATACATATTAGTCTTTCGAAAGTACTTAGCTCTGATGCTACAGTCTAACGAAATTTATCATGTGCTGTCAAATTCCAAGTATCCTGGGTATTTAAAAATTTAGGTCGCCTATTTTCTGCGGGATTTCTTTATTCAAACAAACTCTAGTTAAAAGCTGAGACTACGTATAAACTAGTGAGGTACGTGAGGGTAATGTGGTCGTCTCAAGCTTTGCCGTCCTATAAAACCAAAACTAGAAGAACGACAGAGACAAATACAAAGTTGTGTACTATAACTAATATATTAGGCAAAAAAATAGCAAACAAGCTTTGGCAATAAATAGGAACACTTCCAAAAATCCAATTAAAAAAGCTAACTACACTACACCATACTAAAATCGACTAAAATATCGTAATCTTAATATATATATATATATATATATATATATATATATATATTATTTATATAATTACGTGTCACGTTGTTTGTCCGCGATGGACTTCTAAATTGCTTAACCGATTTTAATCAAATTTGCACACCGTGTGCAATTTGGTCCAACTTGAAAGACTTATACTTTTTGACTGGCAAGTTAGTTTACTATAATGTCAACTGTTAAAATGGTGTCCCTAACGCACCGCCCTTGTGAGCTTTAACTATTTGAGTGGCTGGTGATGAGCTATCGTATCACAAAGCCCTATAGAAACAAGTTTTTGAGTTATAAGAAAAAGACCATACTAACTGGATGACCATATTACCCTCTGT